GTAAAGAATAACAGCAGAAATGAGCTCTACAACATCATGACAGGTGGCAAAAGACAATCAGTGTTATGTACCTGTAGATGAGTCCGTACAAAGGACTTGCGGCCCGTGTAGTCAAAGTTACTTTTCATGAGGAAATAGAGGAGGTGGGCAGCATCACTGCGGATAGAACTGAGCTTGGAGTTGCAGCACTTGAGTATTTCGTAGCACAGAGAAGCACACATGTCTGCCCGCCCGTCAAAGAATGTACAAGGGAACTGGAGGAAGCATAGACACAGAGATAGTTTTAAATTTCTAGGCCTTAAAAAACATTTTAAGTCTTTAACATATGGGGTTACCTTGTAGATGAAGGTCCTGAGAGAGGTAAAGACCTGTTTGAGGGCCATCTCAGACTGTGGGATCTGCAGGAAACACAAGTGCACCTGAAAGACCTTCTTCATCAAGGGGTTGTGACCCAGGTCTAAGGTCAGCAGGGTCTAAAAGAGGGAGACAGCTGGATGAATGTCACGTGACGAGGGGCAGCATATTGTTTTAGTGAAACGATCTGTCAGAGCCTTTACCTTAAAACCCTTGATGAAAATACTGAGTGTGTCCAGCACAGTGAGACACACCTCAGTGGAAACATTCGCCTCCAGCAAACACTGGCTGCTCAAATCGGCTTCTGTGTGAGAGTAGACTGCATGGAGATAACACTCCATGTTAAACTTGTACATAAAATAGACAAAAATTCTGAAATGTATTATTTATATATATAAAACATTGCCATAAGTTTCTTTAAAAATAATTTCCATATCTAATTCATAAATACGAGTGACTAAGGACAATGAAGGAAAACATAGTGTAATAGTATATAGTCAAAAAGGTGAGAAAAGTAAATAAAATGAAAAGCTTTAAATGATAATAATGTGTCAAAAGCTGGACAAGAAAGTTGGACCAAGAAGCTCTCTAAATTACACTAAGGATATATTTGGCCAAACAACTGATTTTGAATCATCTACAATTGCCTGAAAATCATCATTTAAAATTACAACTTACTTAGATGCTATCACCTGAAGGCATTTTATTAAAAAAAGTTTGTTTTAAAGAATAAGTTGCCAGGCACCAACTCAACCCACATGCTGTGACTGGCCTCAGACCTTACTTACTGTTCAAGGTGTGATAGTTCTCTGAAGTTCCCAGCTGCTGTAGGCGAGAGTGTAAGATCCCTGCCCTGTTACGAGACACAGGTAGAGTCAGAGACTTCCTGTCTGCAGCTGCGGGTGCTGGACTGTCATAGCTCCTGAAAGAGAATTAAAAACACTGATAATTTGGATTTTCCAGTCTTTTGTCAGTTTCTTCTATTTGTTTACTCCCATGGCTTCTGGAAGAGAGTCATGACACTGATGCTCTACCTGGCAATGAGTCTCTTCCCCATGTATCGGAACTGATGCAAGCAAATTCTGAGGAAAAAGAGCAAGCAGAGACATATTTTCATTGTCATCACATACAAAGTATAGTTAAAAACAACAAAGAAATGTATCTTGAGTCAAACCACATTGGAATTCCTTGAAAATAAACCAAAACCCTGGATTTCAGGCAGACCATAGTTTGTTCTTTTAGAGCACCATGAACAGCTCTGGTGTAAAACCGTCCTAATGATGGATTATGGCTGATTTGTATCTAATTACTTTTATAATCAGGGTTATTACTACTGTAAATGAGCATCCCTGGTCCATCCCACAGTCTGCATTCAAAGAATGAGAAGAGCTTTTCCCAGAAAGCAGTAATTCAAAAAGAAAGCCTAAGACTCAGTTGGATATTTTCTCAGCAAACTGTGTTTACTCACTTGGATATTTTCTCAGCAAACTGTGTTTTGAAAGTCATTATTATTTCATTTATTTTTCTGACTCTTGTAAAAAACACGTTCTGTACTTACTCCCCCAATGTAAAGAAGTCCATCAGTTCTGACGAAGGTGCTTTGTTCCAGTAAGAAAAAAGGGCTTCTACAGGAGAGGACAACAGTGAAATACTAGTCAGAGTAGATATTTTGATGTGCTGCAGGTACTATGAGCCTATCAACCATACTGAACAGTACATACACCCACCCTCGGACATGCTCTGGAGAATATACAGGAAGCACATGAGCAGATTTTTGATCTCATCCTCCTCAAGTTTGTCACAGCGCAGCAGATTGCTGCCCAGAGTTGATGACCCTTGATTCTAAAACAGCAGCCAGGGAAATGAAAGTGTGACTGATCAACAAGGAACACGATCAAAACCACAGTATTAGGAAAAAACTACTTGTTTGACTCTAAAATTAGCCTGCTTGTATTACCGCAATGATTGGCATACTCGTAGCTTTTTTGATTGTTTCTTCGATTCATTAATATTTCTGGCTAGCTCGTTCTGGTTGAATGTGTTGCTAAACTTTTGAAGACTTATTTTTGGTTAATTTGAAGATTGGTGCAAGTTCTTTTTTAGTGATAGCTTATAACTGCCATGTCCAAAGTGGAATAGCTAAAATAGCTAAAATAGCTAAAATAGCTGGCTATTTATGTAGTTATTTATCTTTAAAGGTTTATCTTTAGCCTTTCTGAAATAGCTAAAATAGCTGGCTATTTATGACTATTTTGGCCTAAACCAATTAACAAAATAATTTTGGAAACAAATTAAACAATTACCGTACCTACAGTACAATAATAGTTAGGCCTTTTTGCTGTGTTTTTTATGCTAAATGTTGAGATCTTACCTTAATGTCTACATTTTACCTTGTGTTCAAATTTTCTTTCAAATGCTTTTCAGTTTTCTTCACCTGCTATAGGTTTGCTACACAAACAAAGTACTGCCTGAATTATGGTTTTTCGTTCACAAATGACAAATGAAGTCATTCTTTTCTATGTTATTAAAGCTTTTAATGAGCTTTAAATGTCTTGCCACAAATCTTGTCCAGTGGATGTTTTCAGTCCTCTAGGTCATGTAATGCTAAGAAGTTTGGTTAGAAGTTAATTTTCTTTTGAAAAAAAATTTTCAAGAGGCTTCTTCAATTTTGTCTTTCACTCAGGTGGGGTTCTGGCTGAATGGTTGTAATTCACTTTATTTCTAGTGTGTCATTGCTTTTTTTTTTTTTTTTGTATATGCTTTAGCTGTCCACTGGGTAATTTTACAGCTGCCTTACTGCAAGTTATCTTTTGAGCACATTTTACCCAACTTTATTTAAGTTATTTAAGCAGCCTTTTAATTTTTTTTTTTTTTTTTATACATCGTTTTCTGCAGCTCTGTGGTGTTTCACTGTACCCTTTCCAGGGAGTTAGTCATGTCACTCCTCTTGTCCAGCAGGCTGTTACCAGAGTCTGTGGACACCAGGGAACCTCTAGAGTCTGTGTGGTGAACTGCAATGGTACTAGGGATGGAGCTGAGAGGAGGTGCTGAAGGAAAGAATCACATAAAAGTTTCTTACATGTCAGCTTTTTAAGACACCTAATAATTGTAAACAGCTCAGATGTCTATGAGGGCGTTACTACCAAACCCTAATGAGGTCAGCTGTCCATCAAAGGCCACTTAGAGAGACAAGCATCAACTCAAATACCACATTGGTTAATGTAAAATGTCCAGTAAATTCCATATGTGTTTTTCCGATAGTGACAGAAAAACATATTTCTAAATTACAATCTTCATTCAAGTCATATCAGAAATGGATAAAAAGAAACATAGCCAAAAATAATAAAGTAATTGATTAAAAAAATAATATGTATTAGAAATAACATTTCACCGGTATCACCATGTGGCACACTTTTTAAACCCAAAACCCCTCTTAGGGAAACCTACCTTATTTAGACCTACATCTAAATAAAAACAAACTAATAGTTACTGATAGCTACATGTTAGCCAAGAAATGCTTTAAGTTCTATTTTGTAACTAAATAAAAAGCTACAGAGTTAATAATTGTAATTCATAGTCAGGATTAAATGAGCTGCTATATTAGATTAAAGGACAGAGAAATAAGTCACCTGTTACAGCGATGACTCCACACACATCTTTGTGGAGAGCATTTTCTACGATGCTGCCAGTTTTTTGAGCCACCACTATTGACTCCTCCCTTACATTCTGGCAGAAACAAAATTTTGATTTTAGAAACGCACACACAAATATACATAGACGTACATACAAACACTTGGAAAATGGAGACTGAACGCCGTGAGATGTCAAACTTACTGGGTTGTGAATCGTTGACTCCTTGACATCCAGACGGTTGATGTTTTCCTGGAGAAGGCCAAACAGAGGGAGGTAAAGAGTGGCCAGTCGGGCCTGCTGGCTCTGATACCAACGACAGGGATATCACAAAAAAGAAAAGTTGTTACAAGGGTTTGTGATTGACTGAAACTTTGCTGATTGTTGTTGGTGTGAGAGCTGTATAGCTCACTTTTCCTGTGTAGCGATCATCAAATGTGTGTTTGATCATCAGGCCTTTCAGAACCTGGATGGCAATCTGGCGGACATCCTTGTACTCCTGCAGAGCACTGCTCACCCCCCTGAGCAGCTGACCAACCAGGAAGTGGTTTTGACAAAAGTCATCAGTTAAGGAATAGTCCAGCTGGAGATCTGTTGCAGTGACAATTTTTTAAATTATAGAATCACATTTAGTGCAAAGTCTTTAGATGGTTTTATAAAGCCTACAAACATTGCCTGCTATCATGGAATTTTTTTTTTTATGTCAAACAGGTATAAATTATATTTCTTAACACTGGAGTTAGGGTGACATGCTTTAAATGTCTATTACAGCGCATGACACCAATCTGAATGGCAATAGATCCAACTTTCTCAACAAAATATCACATTGTCTTTCTAATAAAACATCCAAATGTAATGTCTTTGCAGAAACAGGAAGATCATAGAATACTAAAAATTATGCAGAAAAGACAATATTTGTTAAGCTAAGCCTTGCCAAGGAAACTTTACGCTGTAATCTAATGAAGTATTTACAAGTATCACAGCAGCTGGCCCCACAACAATTTGTTCCATATTTTACCTTGGAACCTCTGCATTCGCCCTGTTCCAAATTGAATGGGCAGATTAAGAGGGACATAATGCTCATGGTTGCAGACGACTCTCAGGAACTCAAACTTGAACTCATACAAGGTCTGGTGAGAATACAGAAGGACAAGTGTCAGATCAGGCAAGATTTGATTATACTGGTAGTAAAATGTTTTACTTTAAGATTTTAAGATTTCAAACCTTGGGATCTCCAGGAACAAAGTAGTTCATATAGTTGTTGATCTGCTTGAAGACAAAGCCTCTGTCCATGAAGGTGAAGCAGCGCTGGGGAATCAGAGAACACTTACAGGGATGTAACGATACACTCAACTCACAATACGATATGATTCACTAATTTTGTGTTTGTGATACGATTTCATCACTTTTTTTTTTTAACAAAATGAGCTGCAAACAAATTATGCTCAAATAGGATTTTGATCATATACAATACCTTTGTAAGAACTATACAAAATATTGTTACTAAATGAAATGACCTTGTGGAGAACCACTACACACCACCATTTATCCCCTCTTATTAAAAGTCAAACTAGTGGTGGTCTGATTTACCTCACCAACTGTCAATATATTAAACAACAAAAGAATATAAAATGTTAACTGTTCCTTTCTTTACAGAAACACTGTAAAACATGTTGATGTCTCTTGGTTTAATAGTGGATCACAACCAACGTTTTTAGGTGCACATCGCCACCTACTGTACTAGAGTGTGTAGTCTCATGGTATGACCACTGACCTTTTGAGATAGCGCAGCCTACTTCTTTGTCCTTGATGCTTTTATCAATGTGAATTGTCAAGCATTTGTATTGATTTTCAATCGGTTCACGATCCTTACATCCCTACTTACAGCACATCACAGAGATAGAGATTTAAACATAGCTAATCACAAACCTTGATGAAAACTGCCAGGCTGTGGTTGGCATTGCTTGCTGCGTCCAGGTTGTCTTTGTATTTCTGAGTGATGTGTGGCATCAATGTGTGAACCAGTGTCTCTAAGGCTTGGTGGAAGGAGGCAGAGAATCGCTGGTTTCTGGAGAGCTGTTCCAGAGGAAAAAAATGGGCTGATAAAGTAGAGAAGTAAAATAATTCAGAAATACCTAATGTTCGGATGGCTGGATGGATGGACGATGTTGAAATAGTTGGCCAAAAGAATGAAATGTATGGCATATACATTATTATTTATATTATAATATGTAACTAAAATATGCTAAAAACCAATGCTGTAGCCCTGAATAAGCTAAAAAGTAGATTTTTTTTTAAATAAAGCCTCATTATTGATAGTATGCAGATGTATGAATTCAAAACAGTCCACTCCAATATTTGTTGAGCAATTTTTAAAACATGTTCAAAGAGAATTCTTAAATGTAATCAAGATCATGGCAAATGATAGAAATCACCATCAAATCTTTGTAAATTACATCTCATATCCAGGTTTTTCCTTAAATTACTTAAATTAAGGAAGAACCCTACGAAACCTACCTTCACCTTTTCACTTTCAATGAGATGGTGGGCCATAGATTTCACTAGGGCTTCAAAGAAGTACCACAAGTGCTGCAACACAAACAAAAGGTTAACACAACGTTAAAACTCCTAGAATGCTTAGTATGTGCATCAGAGTAGGGTTGGTGATCCATGGTTCTATGTTTTATTGTTGTGCTGTGTTCCAACTTTGGAAAATGAAATCATTTCATTAGATACACAGGTAAAAACAGAGTTGAAAGCCTAAACGTATTTCTTATTTTTTGTATTTCATTGTTTGCGGAGAAATTGGATCTGTAGAGCAGGCAGTATCTTTGATCTGTACAGGGTACATGTAAAGCTAAGCGTATAAAGCACACTAACACACATGCACTGGCATGTAAAGAAAAAATATTTTGTCCCAATTTTTTAATCACAAATTTCTGATGACCCCAGAGCTTGTTGTTTCTAAAATTAGTTTTTGATCATGTTTGTTATTCTATGTTGCAAACACAGAGCAGCCAGATCAGTGCACAACATGTCATTTTATTTCCCTGGTCAGGTGTACAGCTAGAGGAGCTTGTCTTACAAAGCTGAAAATGAAAACTCTCAAACTCTTTGAGTCTCTCAAACAATGAATTATAAAAGATGAGCTACTGCAGCATTTTCAACTGACCACAGTGGATGTTTGAAAGATGGAAAGCATTACAGTGATTCAGTTTCAGCTTCATTTTGTCATGTAATTTTTTATTATCAATTACTAGACATTTTAGGTGACCCCATTGGGATTCAAGGCAACACAATGTGGGTCACAATCCCAAGGTTGAAAAACACTGCTTTTTAGTATAAAGAAGGTCATAAAGGCTTTGTTTAGAAACAATTAGTACTTCTTCTCCACCTAACTTTGTCATTTCTGATTTAGCTTAAAACCATACCTTATCGACTTGCAGTAATTTGTTACTGTTGTCGTACCGTATGTACTGATAACATAATTACAGAATGTTGTATGCTTGGATGCATGAATATCAGGAACCTGAACATGTGTAGAATTGACCAAACCACCCCATGAGTGTAGGTCACCTTCAGAAGCTTGTTGCTGGTCAGAAAGTCAGTAGATGGCTTAAGTATGGCTGTCATGGCTCCAGTCAGCTCCTCGTGTATGGTTTTACCCACTGTGGAAGAGTAAGGCTCTGGCTTGAAAACAAACTGACATCAGATACAAAGAGGGAAGAAGAAATCAAATTGGATTTCAGTAAAACTCACTGCGAAGATACTTTTAGTTAAGGACATAATTGTACCTTGACATAAGATCGTAGGTAATGTTCAAGCCCCTCCTCATGGCACTGTGCTACTACATGGACCATTACCCTGAAGAAGAAGAAATAAACACGACATTAATGGTGTGTTCAAGGTTTTTAACTAATTAAGTCGAATAGGTTGTATTTTAATTATATACTAATTTAGCATAATTTGGCTATTTTTTATTGCTTACAGATCTCCTTTTCTGTGTGTATGCATATATATATTTATATGTATGTGTGCACTTGTATGTGCCTGGTAGCGTTGACTGCCACGTCCTCATTTCTGGCTCTAGTCAGGATACAAAAGAGCTGATTAAGGATGGTGGGGAGAAAGTTGACCAACACATGACCTTCCATGGCATGAAGACTCTAGGGTGGGATGCAAAACAGATCATTAATGTTTGATAACAATATTTAATTTGATGGGAAATATGCGTGGAAATAACTGTGCCCAATACAAACCTTGAGGTATTTAACCAAGTCCCCCTCTGAACCCTGTTCTGAGACCTCCATGCTTTGACAGTGGTGGAAGAAGTTGTGTAAGTGCTGATCCTAAATAAAAACATACATTTTGTAAGAGAAATATAAAATGGTGACTATGAATAATGACCAGATTACACTGAATGATGAGATTCTTTGGGAGTACCTGAGTATAAATGGTAGAAACCAGGTAGGTGGAAACTTTGAAGACAGGTTTTCCTCCATCAATCCATTTAATCTCAGAACCACAGTGCTGTAATAACAAGTGGAAAATTATTACTTCACCACATAAAATGATGGAGGCATCAAACCGCAAAGTCACTGGACTGGATTAGAAAAGAAAAACATAAGATTTCAATTACAATTATAGGAATAAATCTAGGTGGTTCTGTAGCAGAACTCACCTGCAAACTCACCAGGTATTAACAAGTTCTAAGTTCTATTTAAATCTAGCCTCAGGTACACAAAAGCACAACACACACAACTGGGTAATTTTATATAAATACAAGCAAATCCGAAATAATGAAAATGTTTGAAGAACTTGTTGCTACCATATGTCAAAGTAGCAGCAGCCACATTTTGCTAAAGGCACTTGATTACTGATAATCAGCAGGTGCGAGCAGCTTCATAAAAGCAGCAGTGGTGGCAATATTTTACTCTGTTGTACAAAGACAATAAAGTAAGAATTCTATTTTACTCTGTTGTATTGCCACCAGGCTAACGCAGTGGCAGGCTGGGATGGTTATTGCGCTTACACAACAAGATCGCTTGTTCTCTCACCTTCGTTGAGCAGTCCTGGGCACTGAGGTAGCCAGCAGGTAGATTTGAAGCCACAGGGAGTGGCTGTTCATTCATGATGACTTTGCCATCCTTCAGCAGAGCCAGCCAGGCTGAGCCCACTGCAGATAGACATGTTGCAAAATGATCCAAACGCAGGTTTTGTACAACATTTACCAGGTCACATTCTATCACTCCAGTCAAACTCCAATCTAAAGTATACAAAAAATTCAAAAGCTAAGTCATCTTTTTGTTCATCTTAATGCTTTGCTGCCTTTCTTTTTGTACATTTTCTTTGCAAATGGCTACAATACTTCTAATGTTCATCTGCAATGAAAAACTGTGTTTTCAACCAGAAACTGAGAATACTTTTTACAAGTTTTTTTTACTCTTGTCTGTATTGTAATTCTTGAAATGATAATGGCAATTATGAGCCCAACTACCAGTTCTTAGTTACTTGTTATACCAGGCGTGGGCATACCAGGAGATGAAGTGTTTGTGTGAACTAAAATATATGACATGTAAGTCATGCATAAAGGATAAAATGCTAAAATTCTTTTAGCCTTTTCTACACCATTTAATGGGGAAATACAGGCATTACAGTGAAAAAGTAGAAATATAATGACAATATACATTTATAATATAGTTTGGTGGGCCGGAAATAAAAAGCCAAATGTGCCCCATCTGGCCCCCGGGCCATAGTTTGCCCATGCCTGGGTTATACAGACAGGTATGAAGCTGTTTTTCCACTTTGTCCTGACTGAAGAATCATATATAATAAATGGCCACATTATAATTTAAAGCAGATTTAAGGTTTTTTCCAAAGGTCTGATAAAGCTCGCCTGAGAAAATGTCCACCTAAAATTTATGCCCCCTTGTTGAAAATAAATAAATTCCAGAAAGTAAGTCTCTATAACATATGACTAGATAATGACTCAAGTTTTGTCACTGGTGTTCTACCTGGACTCTCCACGGGATCTTTCTTCTTACTATTGCTGTCACAGCTGACATGATGGAAGGTGAAAAGAAGGTGATGCTTTTCATGCAGCTGGGTCGGCAGCTCTATCTTTATCTAAAAATAAAAAAATAAATTTTAAAACTGGGCTCTTAAATATTTTTTGATTTCAGACAATTAACCAAAATACATTATCACTTTGATCTACCTTTGAACAATTGTTGTTTTTATGCTTTTAAGGAGGGTTTGACAATATTTTGTTTTCTCAGAGTACCCTCACCAAGGGTTGGTGATGGTACTTCTTGTTAACAGAAGGCTATTTCAAGCCAAAAGGAAACAAATAATTCCATATTAATTAACATTGTATGTAACACATTTACTGTACCATATCATTTCCCTAAATCTGCAAATGTTTTAAAAAAAAAATTTTTAATTTTAATTAATGATGCCCTTACCTCACTGTAAAACTCTGGGTTCTGCTGATGGTGCAGGACAGCTGCATAGGCATGTGTAGTAAAGAGAGCACCACCAGAATGACCATAGATGCACTGAAAGTAATTCAGATTTCAGGAGAAAATTAAAAAAAAAAAGACACAAGTGTATATAAAATTAAAGTGAAAAAAAATCAACTTATGTTTTTGCACCTTCAGTGGCTGTGCTTCATCGTCGTCGGAATCCTTGAACTCAACTCTCACAGCAATATTCCTTGCCTTGAGCAGAGAGAATAGGAATATAGTTTACATTTTGAAGGGATCATTTTGTGATCCACATAATAATTGGTTAAAATGATCTTTTTGACTTGTGTTGCAGCAGACAGACTTCCACTAACTGTCTCTTGTGGTCCACACTAAAAATGAGCATGTAGAAAACGTACACTAAAGCAGGGGGCCCAGCTACTAGTGCACAAAGCATCCACATGTGGCTCACAACTAGATTTTGGTATAATGTAATCTGACCCCCTGCTATTGGTTTTTGGCCCTTCGATGAGATACCAGGGGTAACAGTGGCCCCCAATTCATTTGACTTTGAGACCCCCCCTCTCTGAAGTCTTCTATGAAAAAAATGATGATTTTTTTGGCATTCTACAAACCTTAGCAAAAGACTTCTGGCTATCGTACTTGAGATGTTTTGGGTAGACGTATAAGTGGTTCTTATAGATGGTAAATGGCTGTGAGCATTTGGCAATGCAGGGCACAAACTCCTCAACCTCCAGCAGAGTGCTGCCTGACCCGACGTCCTCAAAACCCCTCACGGGAATGTAAGAGGAAGTGACACAATCTAAAAGCAGGAAATAAGTGGTTGCAGAGTTCAGTCATCAAGTAACATAGTTAAATATATATAGCTAAATATAATTTTGTAAACATTAAAAAGGCTTCACTGGTCACATCTGAAGGCACACTGTCAATAGTCACGTCCAAGTTCCCTAAGAGCACAGGAAGTTTGGCCATTTTTTCTGGTCTATGTGGGAAAAATACACAAAAAGTGGTAGATGAAATGTAAAATAAAAGATTAAATAATTATACGTTTTTAAAAGTGGTATGGTGGAAATACATACTTTCTAAAATCAGCCAGAAGTTTGAACATGTCCTCGTCTGACAGTTTGCTGCTCTCCTGTCTGTAGAGAGCTGAGAAACGAGAGTTTTTATCCAAAGTTCCTGATGCATCTTTGAAGACAGACCTGGTAAAATGTGAAAACAAAACAATCATTTCATACAAGGGAAAGGAAAGGGAATTGTTTTCTATTGATGTATCTATTTGCTGAAACAAATACATTTATTGTATGAAAAGTGCTATATACAGTAAATACAGTAAGTAAAGTTAAAGTTGGATACAAATTGTTATTGCCCAGCCAAAATATAACAATAATTGCTAAAACTTAAACCTCATAATAAAAACATGCCCAATTATATTTAAATGTAGAAGTGGACATACTTAAAACATAACATTAAAACTTAAAATAAGCTAATTTGTTTCAAGTCAACAAAAGATACATATTGAGGTTCACTAGCTAGCCAAGTGATTACAAATAGTTAAAAAAAAAAAATCAAAAAATGAGAACAATTTCACAAGAAATAGCAAACAGTGTGTCAAACATGGCAGAAATCTTGACAAAAATACTAAATAATTCTACAAATAACTAAATAACCTGATGTGAGGTCAGAAATGGCACATTACCCAAAACAGTTGCTAGCCAAGCCCCGAATGAACAACTGCGCAGTATTTTCAGACTTCTACTGTGCATTATTCAACAATGACTATGATATTACATGTTCATGACTGTGCAATATCATCTATCTACGTTCCACTTTTTGGATTCGCTTTAACCTTTGTTATATACGGTATGTTATAAAGTTGTTTTGTTTTATTGTTGCTGCCAACAAAGAGCAAACTGAACCCAAACTGTTTTTCATTGTTCCTGCAAGGGTGAAAATAAAGAGCTATTTAATTCTATTCCAGATAGGTTACTGGTAGCTAAAGAACAGTATTTAATTTATTTAATGTAGGGTTTTTTAGTGAGTGCACAGTATTTAATGTAGGGTTTTTTAGTGAGTGAGTATTTGTCTTCCACATATCAAGTTGTGGGCTTTAAGATTAGAAATGAGCTAGCTAACAGGGACAGGTCTAAACATTAGCTGAGAAAGTATTAGCCAAGAGAGTAAATGGGTTTTCTCAAACCTTGCAGCCCATGCAAAAGGCATCCTGTACTGCCCCAGTCTGCCGCAGGCCAGTCTAGCATTCTTCAACACTTTGTGGACCACCTACACAAGAAAATAGTGTACATATTGTATGTTTTATAAACACAGACAACTTTAACACATTTAGTAGAAGGAATGTTAAAGCAATTTTCTTGCTACAGTCCATTTTGGCTTTTCCCCTCATCACTTAAGTCAAACAACACCAGAAAAGTTAAAAGAAATTAAACTGGAAGAAACAAAACAAATGAAAGCAGAATCAGCAGTATAATCATTTCCAGTTAGACAAAGAAAAATAAATAAATAAAAGGCTACAAGGAAACAAAGGTAGGGGAAGACATATCTGTAAAGAACAACAATACTAGAAATTCAATTTTAAAAAAGAAATTAAAAAAAAAAGTACCTTTGCAGAGTCTGAGTTCTTCATGTAGGGCTCAGTGCAGTGAGTGATTCCTCCTTGAAGAACCTTCTCAATCCTGGCCACCAGGAAGATCTCAGGATGAGGGCAGGTGACTGAGAAAACCCCCTGCCTGGGGTACTGAAGAGATCCTTCTGGCAGCATGCTGGCCAGCTTGTAGCCACTGAGAGGTCCATCATCTTCATTGCTGTTCATCTCTGAATTATTAACAGAACTTGAAGTCATCCCTCGCACCAGAGGGTGGTTTAGATCCACATGAAAGTCAGCCGAGATCTTTCTGCTGTTCTGGACGTCAAAAAGGGACAGGATCACGTAGAAAGGCTCCACCTGTAGAAGAACAGAAGGAAAAACTTTTTTTAAATCATTTTACAGAACACTGAATATAAATGCTTATTTCATTAATCCTTTTGAACAGTGTTTATATTTCCTTTTATCCGAGACAAAGTTAGTGATGAAAGTTAACCTACGTTGGTTGTGGGTCCAGCTTCATTTTCAGCCACACAGCCTTGCAGGTTGAAGGACAGGTCATTGCAGCTGACAAGGACTCTCTTTCCAAACTTCTCCTCAAACTGCCGTATGTCTGGCTCAAGGCCAGTAAAGTCCAGTTTCTTTGGGGTAAACATTGCATTACACAACAGACTGACATAATTAATACAAACAATCACAGTTTCAGACAATAACCAGGGTGTATGGTCTAAATCACCTGTGTAAAAGGATCAAGAGTGAAGAGTTTGGGATGAGCATCACTCCTCGTTTTGATATCAATCTCTCTCCCAGTCTAAAAAGAAAGCAAAAGCACAGTAAATATTCCTGAACTTTTGACAACAGCTCTTTTTCCCCTTTTATAGAACAGTATTTTATTATTGGCATGCCTTTTACAATGAAAGTAATACATTAAGAACATTTTGCACAGTTGGACTGGTCTGGACTTTTATAGCTTTTGCAATTATCTGCTTTAAGGCCTTAAAAAACACCCCTAGCACCTGGCACAGTTGTTGTTCTTTTACATAACATCAAATTTTCAGCTGGTTAGGAAACAGCAGGGTACTGTAGGAAATTGCAAAAAATAAATTAAGGCTAAGCTCTAAATAGGTCACCTGGAAAAATTAAGCATCTCCTCAGCAGGCAAACTCATGCAAGGTGGGTGTGTATTTTTGTGGTCATTAACAGAGAATATGAGTTCAAGGTATGTTTAAACACATTAGGGTAGAAAAAAAGAACAAGCTACCTGGAAGCTGTCCTGAAAGCAACTGGAGGTCAGGTCTGTTTTTTCTTGTTCCTCATCTGCTGGAGAGACCATCACCAGAACTATGCTTAGACAAGTACACAACACTGAATGGAATATGAGTCACATGTCAAACCCTAAAAACAAATCTGGATCCGGTAGACCAAAACATGGCCCACATATGTATAATATGGGTCCTGATTTGTTCTTCACCCATGCTTTCCCACAAAGCTAAATACCTGTGGCAAAATAGATACAATCCTACATCTGTGTTTATCTATTATATTAGGTATTATTATTACCTATTAATACCTACCTATGACATGGCCAGAAAAATAGAACATCCAGGTTTGGTTTAGGCATGCTATTGGCCATGTCTGGTATTCAGAATGTGTGGTATTCTTCAGGTTTGATTGACCTGTTGTTTGTATTTAGGATACTAGCTGTACACCACAATGCATCAAAATAAAAGAAGCTATCATCTTGCCGATAGCCATATCTCTTATCTGTTGCAGGCTAAGCAAACCATTGGGCTATATAAAATTGATGGCTTTGGGTTAATTTTGGATTACATATAGCCCATATACTGGAGTCAAGATATGGACCACTATCAACCATAATATTTTGCTCTAAATATAAAATATGGATAGCTATGGGATGAGAATTACTTAAGAATAATTGTCAAAATAAAAGGCATAAGATAAAGCCTACAACAGGCAGGCAGAAGCAGAAACAGACCATCTTGCAAGTCTCTGTTCTTCTTCTCCTGCATGGCCTGCTCAAAGCTGCTGTGAAGGGTCTTGTTGAGTGTGTTCATCCAATCCTCCATTTCTGCCTCACTGTCCGCAGCTAACAGAAACATGCTCTTGTCCTGCATCTTCAGCTCAAAGGCAAAGCGACGAACTTTGGTGTTCTGTAAAGACACAGAAGCTAAAAAGATGTTACAATTCAAAATGGTTTATTTTAAATCTCATCATGTTCCAGTAATAAGTATCTTGCTGCAGAAGGTTACCTGAACAACTTCTGTGCATGAATCCAGGAAGATGGTTCCTTTGGGTTCTTTTGAGGTGTTTTCATCTTTGTAGAAGTTAAGATTATAAGAGCCATCTCCAAGCTGAGCAAGATAAAAATATCTTCTCTTGAAGGACTAGAAGGAAGGTAAAGACAATTTATCAAAAATATAAAAAGGAGAACGCAGCCCACATCTTGCTTCAACAATCTGGATCACATCCAACGTATGGCTAATTTTACTTCGTTCCAATCACCGTTATCATAGTTAATGAAAACTCATGGACGTCAGTTTTTCTTACTCTAATCAGGGTAGATGTGCACTAATACACAAGTTCTTTGGTACCCACCCTCATGGTAACACTGATTGCACTGTTCATGTTGCCTTTGTAGAGCCAGCCATGTTTGGAGACCCCTCCCTTTTTGGAACCAAGGGTGTCCTGGAGAAAGAAAAGCAGAAAACACACATTAATGCAGGCATTCTTCCAACCATTACGCTCACCATGAGGGAAGTAAAAAAACTTAGAAAGAATTACCACCTAAATTTGGAATTTGGAATTTGCAATAGCCAATCAATGAGGTTGGGCAGGTTTAAAGTATATGTTACTTAAACAGGGTAGAATATTTACAATAGACATGTTTGCCATGTTCTGGCAAAAGGGTTTTTAAAAACAATTTCTGGCTTTTTCCACATTCATTTGTTTCCATCTAACTGGCATTAACCTGCTACGTAGGAGTACCTGGACAAAATAAATGTATTAATTCATGTATTCATAAGGCTCAGTGAAACACGTGGTCCTTTACTGTAAATACTACATTTTACATTTGGTTACCAAAAAGAGTGAATAGTGAAAATGGAAAAACTCAAGATTAGTAGTCCTACCTCATCTTTTTCTGCATCTTCATCCACTTCAAATACATGAGCTGCCAGTTTCTCTGATGGTAATATCTTACTGAAAAAGAAACAGTCACATACAGAAGGATTCTTACATTCTTACACATCACTGTGCTAGAAATTAGTATTAAATAAGGTTACAGTCTGGACAAGGAGTATACTGACAGAAAAACAGAAAGAAGTGAGAAATAATTGCCAAATACGACTAAGGGTATATAAAAAAAATATCTGAGAACCTGCAAAAACTTAATATAACATAATAATGTTTAAGAAATGTGAAACAGCCAAAGTCAGCCAAAAATGCCCAAAAATTCAACATTTTTAGAAAACAAATTAGTCAAAAGAGCCAAAAGAAACCGCAACTACATCAGAATAGCTTACCAATAACTAAATAAGAAACTATTACCCAGAAAAGTTACTTTAGTTCAACAAATTTAACCAATGTTAGCAAACTACTAAAAGATTGACAAAGAAGTTGGCTAAAGTTAGCAAAACATAAATACAGTTACAAAATACTACATCGACAATAGTATGTGGTTGACTAGAGATTGTTCCAAAAATTACCAAAAGTGAAACACCTAAACCAAAAATGCCCGGACCTCTCCAGTGTAAGGCTTGAAAAAGACTAATAATTAGCTAAGCTAAATAAACTATGCTATTGTAATATAAACAACACATTTCGCTGGCTTCCAAAGCTTCACCATTATATTCCTCAGTTCTGTCCATTTTGACATAATGTACAATCTATCTTGGTGATTCTGTTAATCTGTTGCAGTTTACAGAGCTGTGCAAAATTGTTGTTTTCACAGATCCAGATCATCTGTTTGTTTTTTGACCTTTTACAGACTCTAAACTGGTCTGATGCAACTACAAGCTGAAATGTCAGAGCCAAGGGTGGAGTTTTTCATGTCATTATTCTACAGTCTCCCATACGTGACAAGAAACATCTGCAAAGGACCTTCTTGTCCTTAAGTAAAGTGGCTTGACCTGGAAACTGTGATTGATGGAGGGAGTTCCTCTGAAGACAATGAACAACAGCATATCTCAGGATAGAACACAGGAAGCTTCCCATTGTTGTTAGCATCAGTTTCCAAGATGCAGATATTTATGTTTAGAAATTCCAGCCTCATACTTTCACTAAACAAAGAACAGCCTTGTTTATAATATAAGCACGGACAACCATGTCACGAGAAATACTAAAAATAGGCAAGGTCACCTGAGTTTAAAACCCAAAGATTAAGTACAGCTGTAGCAGTTAGCGAGATAAGAAATTTGATTAAGATTAAAATAAAGAATAAAGAAATACAGAGAATGCAATTAGTGAATACAGACAGCATTTCTCAGGACTATGTTATATGAACTCACTGTGTGAGCTGACGGAAGTCTCCAGAATATCCTTCATACTTGTAACTGACCACATGCCAGTTAGACCTGTAGGTCTTGATGCACTGCAGAGATGGAAAGTGAAGAAAGAACGAAGAGTAAGAAAATCCAATTGTCAAATTACCTCAAAAACATACGCATAGCTAAAATGTGTTAGCTCCCTACTAGCATAACCGATTATACAGCAAAACATAACAAATAACTGCTGCTTTGCCTTAATAGCTACTCACTGCAAGTTACCAAATCTTATTAGTGTTCTCTTTCACAGTTACAGTGTTCCCTCTCGTATCGTGGTAGTTGCGTTTCAAGACCCACCGCGAAAAGGAAAAATCCGCGAAGCGAGACGGTTATTATATTATTTACGTATATATTTACGTCTCCCACACTGTTATCAACACGCCTTGGACTGTATTACTCTCTCCCACACAATTATATGCGCAGTACAGTTTTATAATGAAAAGATATTAAATAAATACACGACCATGAAAAACAATGTAAAATACATTCTAATTATGAATTAAAATTCAACGTACATACACACCGTGGGGGCGCGGCGGAGGTTAGCGCTCAGCTGCAGGAGGGAGAGCGCGGGAGTGGCGACGCAGGTGCAGCCCGGGCCGCAGGTGAGCGCAATTGGCGTAATCTGCTCCTCTCCTTATGTTAGTGGAAGCAGGGACCAAGGAGAGAGGAGAGTGAACAGAGGAGAGCGTAGTGGCCAAGACGGACGGACCGTATATGAAAGCCGGACACAGCGCAGGAGCGCACGTTATTGTCAAGAAAAATAAAGGCTGTTAAGTGTCATCTGTGTCAGCGATGTACTGAAGGAGCGAAAGAAGAACCGCGATATAGAGAGGGAAGACTTTTCTGAGTAAACTACTCAGAAAACGTATAGAGTGAACTGTAAATTTTAAAAGCTGTAAGTTCATGTGCTTAAACAACCAACAGACGATTTGACATAACTACAGGGTGATGTAGACCGGGGTGCTGTTTGTAAAAAGCCCAAAGGAAACCTGACTTCTTAGAATGCACCACAATTGCATTCAAATTCAAATTACGACTATTTTCAAAGGAACACACAAACTCATTGTTCAACTACATTGCTGCCAACCCCTGGCACACACTGTGTGCAGGGGCCTGCCCCCCAGTCCGCCCCGGTTGACAGTCGCACCGTGCTGCAGCCTGGCTAAAATGTTTACATGGACCCCCTTCAGTTTTCTCTGGGCTTTTCTGGTACCATGTTAGCAAGGTTTTGGGGTTATTGGTTATTATCTGGTTATTGAGGCCACATTTTGACCACCAAAAAAAAAGGCTTTATTTAAATTATTTTAACCAAATGCAGACCCCCCCCCAAATACACACACACAAAAAAGCCTAAACACACCATACATTTTGGAAAATGCCAGCTAACGTGCATCATAAGTATTACCTCATGAACAAATAGTGAGCAGCCTTCCCTCTCAGCAGTCTCTGGCACAGTGGAAAACAAAGTCCTGCCCTGGCGCTGTAGTGTGGAGATCTGTGTAGAGAGAGATAGACAGAGAGAGAGAGAGGGCATATGAATGAAATCTCAAGATGGCATTAGAATTAATACTTAATAATCCAAGCTGATTAAAAAATGTTCCACTGTGGAACACCTTACACAAAGTGCAATGTTTTAATGCTAGCAAAGCATGCAAAACCTTCTGATATGTTACCAAACACTTTTTTACTTCCTTCACACTAGTCAGTCGCTCCCTTTGACTTTGACTCACACCTTGTAAAATGCATACACATGTGGGTGTGTGAACATCCACGTGTGTGTGAATCTGTGCAGCACATTCCCATGCAAACACCACATTTACGGGCCAGGACTCTCCTTCTTCCTGCCAAAGACCACTGATGTGAAACACATGGCGGGTTAGACAAGAGAACACTGATACATACGACTGGCTTTACCTTAAGAAGGCGTTGTAATGAAAACCATGAACTATGATTTACAGCCACAGAGACCAGAAACGACATTAAAGAACCACAAGAACACAACCGTTTCTAAAGCCAAAGTAATCCTTCCATGACAGTTGAGAATGTTTTGTGGAGTACAGAGGCTGTTGTGGTACCGCTTCCAGCACACTGCTTACCGATTAATTATTTTAGTTCCAAATTTTATTCCAAAATATGCATTTTTAGTGGGCACCTGGATCTGGAATTTTTTAGAACTTCTAGTTTCCCATTATGATAAAGGATGGAGGCATGGTATGAGGGCAACATCTTTGCTGAAACTCAAGAGAAGTCAGGTTCTTAAAGAGTAACAGTATTGTTTGACCTTGAAGCACAGGTGACCTCTAAACACAGATAGAATGACGTGGTTCACATGTGAAACCATCAGTTCTTATCTAAATATCTTTAGACTATTGTTTCTGACAAACATGCCTCATAAAGTCAGACATGCCATGTCGTTGTCTGGGACCCACACTTAACTGAAATTATGAACTATAATTTGAGAAAATCATTGCAAGGTATTTAACCCTTTTTCTAGTGAAACAGATTTTTAGCAAGTAAGGTCCACAATACAATGTTAACTGTCTTACCTGAAAGTCGTCTGTTGGAAACTGCAGCATGTCCCGAAGAGGATCACTCATAATTTGCATCTTCCTCTGAAGAAGCACATACTCATAGTCCACAGGTTCTATAATCTTTGGTTTCACCTAAACAGGCAAAATTAATGTAAAGTTAAACCAGTGCCGACTCCTTTTAAAATGTTTGAATACGTTATTACAGAGGCTGACTTTTGGACTGTGCCAAGTTGTAATGCCTTAGACTGGCATTCTTCTAAAAGCTGTTTTGTCCACCTTTGAAGTTTGTGCCATTGACTACCTATCAAGTGTTACCTGTTAACTCTGGCCCCATGGAAAGGAGCTTTTGGAAAGGGGCAGTTGTGCACGTTTTTTAAAGCTTGTGAATACAATTTACAAAATGTTGAAATAACTGTAAAAGTATCTGATATTTTTATAAGCTTAAAGTGAACTTTCTTTGACGGGTAATGGATAGCGCCAAAAAGTGAAATGAATAGATAAATAAATAAATGTACATAAAGGTAGCCTTAAAACAATTACAATTATTTGGTAATAAAATTGTAAAGATAAACTATTAATAGCCTGTCATAATTAAAGTAATAAAAAAAAATGTGTAAAGTTATCAGAAGAGCAGGTTTTATTTATAAGTGAAGTATAAAGTGTTGCTTTTCTCTAAACAAGTTGGCATTGTGCTTCAACAGCTTGTCCCCTCAATGTATGTTAGGAAAGACAGAGGCAGTCGATGACAGATGGATGGGAGCAGACATTGAGTGTATGACTGTACCAGTCACTGAGTCATGATCTCACATGCAAAACCAGCACAGGGCTGTAACTTTGTCTCACTTCTTCACTCTGGGTTTCTCTGGAGATTTAACCAGGCTGAACCCCACTAACATGATCTCAGCTCTTTATAGATGACTTTTAGCTATTTCCTGATGAACTAAAAGTTATTTGTGCTTATTTTATGGTACAAAGTTAAACTTGGCTTGATTTACATTTTCTATTTTTGCTGCTGTTAATTTACATTTGCGGTTACTGCATCTGGCTTTTTAGATATAGTTTTGAAAATGTAGCAGATTATTAAGCTTTTGTTAAACTGGTTTTGGCTGGTATTAGTTCATTTTTACATAGATGTTTTAACTGTACGCTTTTTTTTGCCATTTACAAGCTGACCTGTGTGATCTTCGGCCACATTTCAGGTATCCTTTTCCACTTGGAGGGATATTTTCACCTATTTCGTGGCTAAAGCTAAGCTACATTTTCAGTTCCTTTAATTTCTGTATATGCCCATGTGCTCTGAATCTAAATATAAATCCAAGCCCCTTTTTCCAGTCTGATGATAGTCAGACAGCATGGCAGCCAACATGTTTACTATGCTGATTAGAAATCTGTGGTGAGTAGATCTTTTATTTTTCTTAAGCGCTGCACTGATGGACTGGTCAGTGATCAGAATCAGCCAGTTATCACTATGATCCACCCTGACTGGTGATCAGCCAGACAATCATTTAGGAGAGGATGTTCACACTCTCACACAATGAGCCAAGAAAGCAAAGCTCTAAGATCACAATGTGTAATGTATAATAATATATACAACAGTTCAGGTGGAGGAGCCACCATGAAGTCCTTCACAGCAACTAAAAAAACAACAAAAAACACCACCACCCAGTCAAACTGGAAGAGGCTAAAAACAAAAATGTTAGCCAACACAATAACCAAAAAGATAAACATATTGTCTAAAATTAGACTAAAATTACTTGAAAACAATTACATTCATTAAATTTCAGGTCTGGTCAAGCTACAGGTTCACTCATATTCATTCATATATATTCATATATTCACTCATATATAGTTTCATATTTTAAAATCACCCTAGAATGCTATACTAACAAAAGGTATCTGTATTATTTTCTGAAATGGTGTTTCCTTAGATCAGTACCCAATTTTTCCTAGTGAAAAAGAATGTGAAAAAGGTTTTCTTCATGCTCTGACAAAGATATAAGAATATTACTAAAGTCTTAGGAGGAAAGTTGCCTCAGGCTTTGTTTGGATTACATCATATCAAAGAGAGAATTCTTTTTATTTTTTAACTTCTCTGAATCACTATCAACTGTGCAGAGATCTTGTCAAAGCTCGTAATTTCTTGCATAAGAGCCATCAATGTACAAAGGAAGCCAAGAGTGTTTCATCCTCACTTAGATCAACATTCAACTCTCTGGAGATGCATACTCAAAACTGCTATTTCCCATTTCCGCCCAAAGATCTCTTAGTGCTCCTTCAAGCTATTTTCAAAATGGAAACTCAAAGAAAGAGGCATTAAAGAAAGGAATGTTTGATGAGGAAATGCTTCTACCAAAAAAAAAAATCCTTCAATTACAAATAATGTAAAAAATTGAAAAGTATGAGGCTGGGACAGTTGGGACTTACCACAGCCACTTGTGACCCAGCCTCCAGCTCAGACTCAGTCTCAGCCAGGCTCCTGTACTGCTGTGGTAACTCAATCACCATCTCTCTCTTGGGGTTTTTTCCTGTGCGCCCTTGCATGGTGCCCCCAGAACCCGGTGCCAGAGGCAGAGTCAAGTCTTAAAGGTTGACAGTAAGAGTTGCAGTGCTGTAGACTAGCTTTCCTCTGACACTGTCTGCCTCTCCCTCTCTCTCTCTCTCTCTCTCTCTGGAGCTGGTTCTGGCTCTCATCAGAAGGTCTGGGTTCCTCCCCTCATCTGTCTCAGCCCAACAGCTGTGCAGCTGTGAGGATGTGGGTGTGTGTGTATGTTTGCATGTACAACTCGTGATTTAGAGAGCAGGGAAGTGGAGGAGTAACTTTTTCATTTTCACCTGGCAGTGGCTCTGTCAGGACATTGTCTCCACCTGCCTACCTGCGTGGGTGTGGCACCGCTAATACAGTTTTGTGGGTCAAATTAATTCATACCTTTTCAAGGAACATTTCTGGTAATTGTTTTGGCTAGCTTTTTTGGTGAAAGTAAAATAAGTCATTGTTTGTTCTTTAAGCTACATTTTCAACATTTTTTAAAATAATTTTGTATAAGACCGCACTTTTTTCTAATACAGACCTTCAACTAACATTTCTTTTTATATTTTTTGCATTTTTTTTAATGTATGACCTACTACTGTAATTGCTTCAAAGACACTAATGCCAGCTTCCTTTTAAAAATGGCTAACATCAGTAAGACTGCTACAAAGGCACCAGCTAAGATGCGATGAACTAGAGCTTTAGACTGTTCATCATGAATACGTTATTCAAAACTTTGTTTCCATTTCTGTTCTTAGCCCTTTCAATAATACTGCCTTCATCAAAATGACATGCTCTACATGGTCCAACAGTTGATGGTCCTTAGTTCATTTCTTTCTTAGGTCTGTAGCTTTTAGTTTTTCTTTTTGTCCTGGATTGGGTCTGTAATGGACGAATGACTGTCCCCATCGTCCTTCATAGGTCTCAGCAGCGACGGCATCACCAGCTCAGCATGATAATCAGCCTGTTGTCCGCTCTGAGGTCATTTCACCCTATTCAGTCACATCACTGACACACTCTCATACAATAACATGTGTAAGTCTGGGACTGAACATCTGCATCATGAAGCAAAAAACACATTCCCTAAGACAGAGTGAGGGTGGAGAAGGTTACGTCCTTTTGATTTTAAACATCTTGGACTCATTTGGACATGTAAGACGTCCACACCCTACCCTGAAAATGAACACAAACACTTACATACAGAGGGGAGAAGAATTGTGTTGGGACCTAATGATGTCATGTTAGTAACGCAAAAGGGCGATGTCCAACAGGGAGAAAGTAAAGTCCCTGCAGTACTTCACTCTGAAGCATATCCACACAGATATGGTATTGTTATTCATTTTTACAAAAAATGTGGTAGTTATCCATTTCACAGTGACAGGATTTGTGTCTTATCTCCAAGTAATTAACTTTTTTGTAGGTAACTTGTGGGAAAACATCTGGGATGAATTACACAGTATACTAGTGAAGGGAGTTTTCATAATCTTTGTGAAAATGTCATAAAATGTGAATGTTGCAATATGAGAATTGGCAACACATTTGTTTGACATTTCTGATAAACTCTAAGCTAATTTGAGCTGTCTTTGCTAACTTCTAGCAAGTTTTAATTTCAAAGAACTTTTCTTTTGGTTACTTCTATATAGTTCTTGCAAACGTTTTGCTCTTTCGCACGAAAACTTGTTTGGTGTCACTTCAGGTCAGAGGAAATTAAACAAGGGTTGGTTGGGTCAAGGAAAAAGAGAGCCTTGTCTGAATGGCTGGGCAACAAGGAAAAACATATAGTAGGTGAGGAGAATAGGGTTCTGTGCAGAGTGGCAGTATCTACAGATATCTAATGTCAATCAGCCATATGATACAATACGGGGGCAAGTAAAGCCAGAGGCTCCGATCGGTTAGAAAATTTGGGTTTAAGACGGAAGGAAGAGTACTAAAGATTAAAGATACAAATTATAAAAAGTTTAAGTTTGAGAGATCCACTGGAGCGTGGTCTGTATGTTCAGAGAAACTTCTGGGAGGTTCTTACAAAAAAAACGGCAATTTTGTTTGGTTAACACATCAACTTTATGTATTATTTAATATTAAATATATCTGTTATCTGATATGAAATATCCAAAAGCAACATTTTAAATAGCACTGATTGGCTGTCGTAAGCTACGACATATTAAATAATGCTGCATATAACAAAACCTACACTAATTAATAAGACATATTAAATAATGTTGCATATAACAAAACCTACACTAATTAAAACTAAAAATTGGCCGGCAAAAACTAAACAAAATAAATCTATCTAATGGTTAACACATTAGTAGCCAAAGAAAAACACCAAATAATTCATAAAGAGATTATAGGAAATTTGGCAAAAAATGGCTAAAAAAATTTCCTGTAAGAAATATAAGGTGCAGCCTTCATAGTTTACATCATATACTGTATGTCAACATATACTGTATCTCTATACCATTAGAAGAAGAATCTTCTAGGTTGGTTGACAGATTAAAATTCTACATCTTCTTTGAACAAAGTTTAAGGTAGTGTTTTCCCCAAAGGTTGGAAACCTCAGCAGATGTTTGCAGAACTACTTCCTTTTTAAAAATGCTAACCAAATGTTAGAAAAATAAGACAGAGATAAGAATACATTTCCTGGGTTTTACCGTACCACAGCAGTGTCAGAAATCAAAAGTTGATCCCTCAGACTCAGTCTTTCCTCTTCCATCTCCTCCTCCAGAACCCCCTGCTCGCTGACACCCTTTACGGTGCAGGACCTCTCAAGGATGGAGCGCAGCCGCTCCAGAAGAACCGCACTAGTGGTGCATCCCATGTTGAACCCAAACGCTCAGCCAACATGCAGGAAGGAAAAATACTGATATTACAGTGGGAAACACTGCCTTGGAGATGCTATTGATTTAACATGAGAAGTAAATCTGTTTAAAACAAAGCTCTGTGTTGTGTTGTGAGTGGCTGAGTCATGTCTTCTAGCATAGTGAGGATGGAGGGATGAGGGCAGTGAGAGAAGGAGGAAAGCTCATTCACTCACAGCAGGGCGGTGACTCAGGACTCCTTCTTCCTGTCAGTCTTTCCTTCTTTCCTCTCTACTGTTGGAGGAGCAGGATGCAGAGGCATACGGTCACTTTGCTCCATCCTCCCCCCTCTTCTGCTTTTACTTTCTCTTCTTTGCCCTCCATCTAATCATCCCTCACTCTCTACAAATAAAATCTAAATGTATAATAGGCAGAAATGCTGGTTAAAATAATCAATACACTAACCCGTTATGTATAAACTAATCTTTAATATATTTCCCTTTTCCCCTCTAAAGGGATTTGCTGGGGTGTGTCTCTGGAACTGTTAGTCTTTTACGACATATTGGACTAGATGGGTTAGTCCTATTTGCTAATGGATTTTTATGATGTGTAAGGATGACATCAACAAGGTGATGGCATCACTGGGCAGAAGATGAGGATTAGAAGGGAGTTTTGCCGTTGTGTTAGGCTTGACAGCTACAGGCCAAAGTGATCTACCTACACTCAAAACATTAAATGAATATTTACTCATATAAACCGAACATACACATTTTATTTTAGTAATTGTAATTTTATTGTAGTAATTGAATGCCTGTAGCTTAGTGACACAAAATGATTGAATTATTAATGTATATGGTGACTACCACCCACTATGGAATTATATTTATATTTAAATGTATTTATTGAATATTATTAAATGAAATAGCAAGATTGTAAGAGTGTACAAGTAAGTAAGAGATTGTGACATATATTATAAACATATTTCAAATTAGCTCAGAAATTGCTAAATATTTGTCTAGAAATGTACTAACATTTTCTCAGAAATAACTAAGTGAGGAAAAAAGCTGAGAATCAGATGTAACTTTACTGAAGAGAGTGGCCTTTTCACTAAATATAACCAGGCTTTAACATAAATGAATAAATGTTTAAAACAATTACTACAGATGCAAATCTCTGTGACTCTCTTTTGTACCTGTCCACATATGTTTTGAGTTTAACAGTTTCATCTCAATAGTTAGCGCCTCAAATGCCAAGACAAACGAATGCATTAATACTGCCTCCCTCAGGCTGCCTGTAACAGTGCAACAACTCTTAGGCTGATAGTGAAATACAGTACAGTATTGAGATTGAGATTGATTTCCTCAATATTACCCGAAATATTTTGCATGTACATTTCTGTAGTGTTTATTTTTACATATACTCTATATTGGAAGTTTAATTTGATATTACCTTATACAAAAAACAGACTCAGATGACACTGTGCAGACTTTGTTTTCATTCAATTAAATAAATAAATGTAACAAATCAACATTTGCCGTGTTTTACCTGAAGTGATTTATGCTTATTAGCAGTGTACTTCTGGCCTTACATAGTGGTTAGAATGAAATCCTTATTTAGTCGACCATATATGTTTGTCATAGTACTGTAACATCAAAATGTTGTAGCCCACATTACTTTTTTTAACATACTTTTTAAGTAAATATATTGGCTCACCTTTAGATATTCATTTGTTAAAAAGTAGTTGGTTTGGAATTTATAACATTAACAAAGAACAGAAAATTTAACATAAATTAAATGTGTGAGTGTGCTGTATTTGCATGAAACTGAAAGGTGAAAAGCAGAAAGTAATGTATATACAGTTAATGTTAAAATGACTCTGGGCCACAACTATGGCAAAATTATATTATTTATTGATTGAGGCACCACAACTGTGTGGTATATTCTTTTAAACTTAATGACTCTAGTGTATGTAACTATGTTGTCAGGGCATTTAGCCCCTGGTAGGGCTAGACAAAGCTCTGACAGAACTCTGGAAGAGCATTGATTAATTTACAATTAACAGGACCAACACTTACAATTTTTTTAAATCCATCTGAAACTAAATTCATATATGCTATAATATGTTGTTCTTTGACAAAAAATAATTAAAGTAAAATATTGACCAGCACCATGACCAGCAGGTCATTTTTCTTCTGATATATATAACCTATACCTATTAACTATACCATAAATATATTACCTATACCTTGTTACCACATACTTGGTTAGACTAAACAACTGTGAAAGAGACGGATGGTTATAATTGACACAAAGTTTGCTCCGTACTAGCTGGATTAAGTTACCGAAAGTGCCAAACGTAAAATATTACCAAAAAAATGTAACAGTAATAACCCACATCTTGGTGGGAAATGGTAAAACAAGTATATGTTTAAAATCTGAATAATACCTATTTTGAATAATTAAAACAGCATCCTATCGATGCCGTGCAGTATCCTATGTGGTAAAAAAGCAACAACAACAACAACAACAACAAAAACAATGATTAACCTCACATCGCTTTCTCAGTTGTTAGGACTCTGATGAGTCTTTCATTTAATAAATTGTCTTGGCCTGTCGACTCCAAAATATATTGCATGGTGGCGCTGTGGCAACTCTGTCTGAAGGACTGTCCTCCATCGCCCCACCCCCCTACTAAACCAACAGCAACCTGATACCGGAGACGAGTGGTCCAGACAAGCCTGCAAACGAGGCGTTACCAGCCGCCCTGTCTGTCTGCTCGTCTAGCGTCTGCCCAGCGGGGCTCGGGAACATTCAATGCCTCAGACGCTGCCGATAAGTCGTCACGTCTTCCTCCTCCTCTGGCCAGCCGACTGACACAACATAACATTATCGGGCTCCATCTTCCAACATTTTCCTCCTCCATCAGCGAGGTCGTGAATTATGACGAGACCCGAAAAACTTACAGTTAGCATATATTGCTAATGTTAGCTGGTAGCTTCTGGCACGGTGATAATTAGTTGTGGTATTTTTGTCTGCTGTTTTCAAAGTGTGGGTGCATTTTTACGCGTACGGTTTAGGATGACGTCCGAGTAAACAAAGTGATTGCTTCGTTTTGATTTTCGAAAAATTACCGCTGTTTTCTTAAGTTTTTGCTGTGCCAGACGGTCGGAACCGCTAGTTAGCATGTTAGCACAGGGATATGGACGTTGTTGGCAGACTGTTTGCTGCAAATGGCAGATGCGAAAAACAAGTTAGCCACTTGCTTTGTCCGAATAGTGAGGATAACTGAATTGTACTTCACTGTCTAGGTTAATTTTGAAATCGCTTTTAACCAGCAATCACAACAACGGCGCCTTTGATACTTCTCCATCAATTATCAATGCGTTGTTGCACACAGAAGAGAGCAGTCCAAGTTTGTGAGCTGACGAGAGCGACAAACAGTGGATGTGGAAAATAAAGACGGTGGCTGAAAAATAGAAAAACATCATTACAAATAAACCAAGACCTGGAGGACCTCCAACTTCAAGAGCCAAGTTACTGTTCAGTGCCATGGCTATGGGCCGAATCACTATGAAATCACTAGCCAAATTTGGTTACTGCATGGCTGTTCTCCTCACCTCTGTGGCAGGTAAGTAAAAACACATTACGAAAAACCTTGATCATGATCTCGTAATGAGTTCTTTTCGAATGTGCATTTCCCGTTTGGTCAAACAGAGCTCTCCTTTTGGTGCATTAAAAATATAAAATGGATTGTTTCCAGATCAAATTATATGACCTGATGATAATTTGTTTTGGCCATTAAATACAGAAACAGTTGTGCATCTCAGTTGCATTCACAAAATAAGAATGACTCATGTAGACTCGTGTTTACATTTATAAATTTCAACAGTAATATTATGCAACCCAAATTACAAGCAAATACAGACTGAAATTAATAATTCAAATGTTTCTGGGTTTTTTTGTTGTCATTTTTGTCAAGTAATTTTGTTTGTCTCTATGACTTATCTTATGCCTTCTTTAAAAGCACCAATTGTCAGTTTTGTACATTTTGATATTAGCAAGAAGAAAATAAACAAATTACCAGTTATTCCTTGTTGCTTGCAGGCATTAATGTTGCATGTCTCACATGATGCTCAGTTGTATGAACATCAGCTGTAATGCATTTATTTTCACTAAAGTTGGGACATTATTATTATGACTAAATTGTCATTTAGTATGTTTTTGCTTTTATCAAAAGTACAAAATGTTCATGTTCTGTGATATAAAATCAAAAATTGGCTTGCAGGGCAATGGATTCTTTAGGGAATTGTCATTTAGTATGTTTTTGCTTTTAGCCCAGCAGTAAGGGCTAAAGAAATTGTAGGCAGAATACCTAAAAGATAACAACTGAAATCTCTACATGTCCTGTCAAGCTACGGGTTAAGTTTTAGCAACAAATGGCTAATGCGTAGCTAAGAAAATAGTTTAAATCAGATAGAATGTCGATCATTTGGTAAAGAACTGGCCAAGGCAAAAGTTAGCCTAAACAAATTGAATAAAAATCGAAACTATTGAATAGCCGCATGTTTTTTTGAGTGTTGTTACAACTGTAATCTCCATTATCCGTATGTATTTTGTGATAGTATTACAGGCTTTGTTTTGTACATTTACCATTACATTCGGTGCTACAGCACACAATAACAGCTATCATGCTGGGTATCAATCATCCTTTTGTATTCTTGTTCAGTTTCTTTTTTCTCTCACCCAGCGTATATCTTCTTTTGCCATGTCATCTCATATACCTGACTTATTTATGCTGGGCTCATTTCATTGTCCTAAGCAAACCTTCACAGGTATTGCCTATTGAGAAGAAGATGTAATTGCATCCATTGACTCCTCGTAATTGCTGTGTACTAAGGTCTGGACAACCACTGGCAAACATGCCGCAGTGTTTGCCTGCCATGTTGTGCCCCCTGCTTAAGACTTTAGGGCAGAAACCAGGCCTCCGCAAGACCTTGAGTTAGATAAAACAGTTACAGGCCTGCACAGAAATGAGGAGGAGCACTGTATGCGGGGGTAATGTGGAATGTGTGGGAACACCATATGGGTATTTTTCCCGGGTTCTGGCTTTGCTTCTCTGTTTGGAAAACAATGTTTAGAAAACAGACATCTTCTTCATAATCTCATGTTTTAGTTGATCTTAATATCACACTAACAAATGTATTTTGTTAGTTTATCTGAGCATGAAAACCTCATGACAGTGCCACTTTAAAAACAAATTATTGTGCACACACAATACAGATATTTGTCATCTGTTCCACTCAAAACACCCTGACTCTCTGAAGTCTCTCTGTCTTTAGATGTAACTATTTTTCTTCTGTTGTGATTAGTAAGGGTGTGAAGGTGCATCGTGAATTGGTTAAAAACCAATACAAATTTGTGACCTCTGCATTAGTTTGATTTTTTATTTTTGTTGTTTTGTTTTTTAGATTGATTGATTGGTAGATGTGTGGACAGGTATCTTGCCTGTCTCTTGTGGGATTCTGCTTGTTCTTACTGTGTGAAACTCCTGTTTCCTCCCATTGTCCAATAATATACAGGACTGCACACTCAGCAAGTGTGAAGGGTTGCTTGACTGTAGACGTATGATTGATTGGTGTCAATCACAGTCAAGGACAAGTTAGACTTTATACGGTCTAACTTGTCCTTGACTGCTGTGATTTGCTGTGCCAACTTATTTTTTGTTTTCACAATACTCTGCTACTTTGATTTAAGCATTGTCAATGGTTCCCATACTGGGTGGTAAGCCCACATGATAGGATCAAAGTGTGTGATGACACTCTTCAATGTTAAGTTAATATACAGATCCTGTCTCTTTCTGCTTTAATATAATTATTTCCTACTTTTAGATTAATTAAATAGAAATTGTAAAAAAAAATGGATTGATTTAAAATTGGTTTAGTCTCTGTCATTTGGGGGGGGGGGGTGCTGCTGCCCTTGCGACCCGGTAACGGATAAGCGGATGAAAATGGATGGATGGAAAATTGGTTGATGCTTTTATTAATGCATGGCTCTCGCATCATACAAACAAAGATACAGAAAAGCAAAGGGCTTCATCTCTAACAAAAACCCTAATATTATTGCTTTTGTTGGAAGTTGGGCATAAATATCCTGAGAAAATAACATGACTTAGCTGAGTTGTGATATAGGAATCCAAACTATAAAATTGGTGATATTTCAGCAAATACATATTTGAATTTACTCCGGTGTTTGATGGGCAGTTTACACATTTGCTCAATAAGTAGTCAGTGATACAGACTGCTTGATTCTGGAAAATCATAATCACCATTATTTTGGTCAAATTAAAATTGCGATAAAAATCATTACCATTACACTATATCAAAAATAACATAAAATATAATCTTGGAGAATTAACCAAAACAAAAAAAAACCTATATATATATAAACATACTAAAATATAATATACATAAATGGCGTATAATATGAATATAATTGCGCAATGCCATGTGGCAAAAACATTTTTCTTTCTTCTTTTTTTAATTAACTGCACAGCTCTTATGTCTCACATCAAGTATAGAACAAAATCCTCTACTTTGCAAATTACATTAGGCATACGTTACACTTAAATGACACAGGAACTGTGACAATACAAGGGTGAAACCTCTTACTCCATGCTGCTATCTAAATAAATAAGACTATAGTTGTCCACTGTTTCTCAGAACACTGCAGAACACACACCAACAGAGATGCATTCAGCAAAAAATTGGAGGAATCCATACATTTATTTTGATTTCTCCTGGAGCATTTAATTATGGTAAAGCAATGTTCACAGGCAAATAACATCAGCGATACTGTAAACAAAAGTGAAACATGGATGAAAACAGGGCAAGGAGTGCAAGATGTGGCCTCAACGTATTATTGCCAGCATTATTATATATTCATTATCCATTTACAGACTTTACAGTACATTGGTATATCTGGAAAAATATTGCAGAAGGTCATTTCTATCTGCATTCAAAGATAACTAAAGGCCCTCAGTGGATGTTGCTTAAATCAGTGGTATTTGAGTGAGAAAATTATCAGGTGGATAAAAAGTTACTAAACTCTTTTTGGCACAGCTGTGAACACTCCATTAGCTGCTTAAAATCTCAACTATTAAACACAAGCTTTACTGTTTGTTATATGATATTAAATAATAAAAGTCAGAAAAGTATAGCTCACAGCTCTGCCTCTAGGTTCTAGTGTGATTTCCTGTTGAAGGAAAGTGCTCATTGTTCAGCAGTTCTTACATATGCAAAAAATCTCCGTAATTTAATTGTCTGACCATGTAAATGGTAACTACAGTCTCCACCCTAGACTGTATTTCCTGATAGTCTGACTTCCCAAAACTGGTGCAGTTTTTCACTTAATTTCTTTAAGCAATCAATGAGTAACAGTACAGCATAAGGTAGGATGGAGATGTGTAAAGTCATCCCAGTCCACAAACGTGAGTAGCCATTTTGTCTCTAATACAGTGAGTGTTGCATTCTTCATTACATGAAAAAAAATCAGTTTATTTTGCTTCTAAAGCTTAGGTTGAGCTGTAACTTCAGGTAAAAGCAAAGACAGATTCAAAAGGAAAGTGTTTAATCGACCTTCTGCATAGGCGTTATTTTGGAATTAGGGGCTGTTTTAGAAAACAATAGGTGAATCCTTGAGAATGTTGCTCTAAGTGATAGCCTGTGATTAACACAATCAGTCTTCTCCTTGACAGTCAGAGACAATATGTCTGTTGTGTGCTGCAAATATTTGACTCCATTTGTTTTGTAATGTGTCTTGGTAGATTTAAGCGTTCAAAAAGGTCACTGATTGCACCTGCAGTTCTGATGAAGTGTAACGATATGAATTGCCTCTCGAAGTTGGTGCATTCTATAAAAATAAATGCAGCATTTATAGAGCAAGCATGAATTTCCATAATGTCAATAGTTAAAGTGTTTATTTCCTAATAAAACAATCATATACACAACATACACAAACATCAGATGTAAGTTGAATTATACATTTCAAAACAGCCGTTGAACCTAAAGATGGATTGTAGCTACCCTTAGGGCGATAATCAATATATCCATTGATCACACAATAAATGACCATGAAGTCAATCATTTTGCTGGCCTCCATGTCCATGCGTGTTTGTCTAATTTGTCCCTTGCCTCCAGACCTGCTGGATGACAAGAGGGTTCACTCTGTGCATCTGTCTCAGCACCCGGGCACATTTCTGCCATAGTGGAAAGAGCTGAGTGAACCCTCTTGTCAGTTGTCTACTCTTTTTGGGGCAGGGCTGCTAGAACACACACACACACACACACACACACACACACACACAATGCAGCAACACAGCCACTATGCCAGATTTGTGTAGCAAAAGAAAAAGGCAACACAACAAACTTTGCAGCACCACATAAAACAAAACCAGCTGACACAGTTAGAAAAAAAATTGCACCTCAAGATGCAGAGCCTTTGTCTGAATTTAACAAATGCGCTACATCACAAAAGCTGCACAACCCTGCACTTAAAATATATTTATTATGTTACCGGGGGTGGGGGGCTTGTCCACAATAAGGGGCTTTCAGGTTCCATAGAAAATTTAAAAATTGTAAAGAACAAATACTCATGAGAAATGCAATTTCTTGCATCTGAAAAGGTGTGCTTGCATAAGATATACTGTATGCTATATTATCATTACAATAGTGGTCTCAAAATAATTTTGTAATTAATAATTTCTGGGACAGTATATCATCCAGGAAATTTGTTGTCGTCCAAGGCCTAGCTACAGCTTTAACATGGTGTGGGGTTTTTTTTAATGAATTGTATGTAGGGTAGCTTGAGTGAAATGAGTAGCACTGTTAAAAGCTACAGCCATACCTTAGGTACTATTTCATTTACTGGTCCAAAATTTGGACACTTTAAAGGAAGAGAAAGAGAGTTCACATAAGATGAAGATCAGTAGAAAGAGTATAGTATTACAACCAGAGATGGGATCAATTCCAGAGTTGGAAATGCTCATGTCAATGTCTTTTATATATACTGTTGTCTTTCTATCATAGAAACTATTATCTGGATCTACATCTAATTCTAACACAGATACCAGCAACAAATTGCCCTCAGGTGATTGCTGCCGAAGCAGTAAGGGATTTTGGCAGCCCCTGACAAGTCAAGGAAGAAATTGCCTCCATTTTCAGTCTTTACTATTTATTAAACCCCAGGTGCTCAACCAAGATCCCACATTTTAAACCACATGGCAAGTGGGTGCTTGACTCTGCTCATTAAGAGACTTTGACTGACTTTGCCAGTAGACCATCATATAATTTTTTTTTTGTTTGGCAAGTAGGGCATGTGACAAACTTGTAGTTGTAAACTATCACACAATAACTAATTTGCATATTTTTACTGGATTTTTACTAGTGGACAGCCATTGCTATAAAAACCATTAAGGTCTTAAATATAATCTCTAGTACTCAATGTATAAATACAATGCTATGACAGATTATAGTCACTGAATCAGTGCCAACAACAACAAAGGTATTAGGCTCACAGAACATCATTTCCAGATTGGTCAAAAATAATTACATGACCAATATTACCATGATTACACTCGACACAGACATATAGGAGATGTTATTTAGGCATTGTTTGATAAGTTCTAGGACAATAGATGAGAAAGATTTAAGTCCACTGGCCACCTTATGTACCGTTTAAATTCAGCCAGTCTTCAAATCACCAAACAAACATTACACTGCCATTCACAGCCTCTTCACACTTTTTGTGTTTTCACATGTGGAGGTACCAGAGATGTATAGTGGGATTACATTGAATTGATGCTCTTTAAACTTACAAGTGAGTCTGAAATGCAAGAGGACAGTGCTACCGAACCATGCATTGCAATTTGAAAGCATAATACATCATGTCAGAGAAGTCAGTGTGTGCACTGGCTGGAAAGGACATCCAGTGTGCATGTGCTCATCCAGCACGATTTAGCCCTGGTCAGGAGGGCCAGCCCACCGCCCCATTATTTCAATTCTTTTACAGCCCCTGTGGGCCTAAGCAGAAGGGAGGGGAGACAGAGATTAGGATGCTTTTGTTTTTGTTGGCAAAGAGGCTAAGGGAAGGAGGAAGTTTGAAGTGGTGGGAGGGTGCATTAAAGACCAATGTGGGGAGAGTTACAAATAACTGGGCCATGGGTAAACACGCAACGATCCCTGACATCGTTCAGTGATTTAGTTTAAAACAAATAATACTCCAAAGCCTTTTGCTATGACTACCCTCTTCCTCCCTCCTTCCCTCTTCTATGCCTCTCCACTGGCCTTGCCTGCATTCTCTAACCCATAATCCAATACTGCAGTGGAAGATCGCACAGTGAACACTACAGTGCCCAGGCAGGGACAGAGATAAACACAGAGACCAGCATTACAACAAGAAACAGTTTAGTCAGGGAACCAACCACAGCCAAGGAGAGTAACAGACAAACCAATGACAACAGCTGTAGTTCAGACTGCAAATGAATCAAAACTGGGGTTTTCTCTCCCTCAGTTTTTATGAAGTAAAGTTACAGTTGATCCTTTGTAAGATGTTGGTGTATCCATTTGTCTCATAAAGGTTTGTCATGCCATCAGAGTGCCGTAAACAGTCAGTGTCATAATGTTATTTCAGTCAGTGAACTGGTGAAGTCTGCTGGGGGTGCAAAGGAGTGGGGGTTTACCCTCATGATTCTTGGTACTTCCCTAAAAGTGAAAAGGTGGAGAACAAAGCTATATTCTTTATATAAGGAGTACAACAGGTCCTTATATTGTATTGTTGTATTTATAATAAAAAAATATTTAATTACACAAACAATTTAAATATAAATTGCAGTAAAAATATGAATAGTTCATGTTGTATACAGAGAAATTAGATACTTTGTCTGCTCTTTGTGTTTCAACTCACACAGTCTTGAAAGAAACGCACGGCCTGTGACAACACCTGTCACAGGCCGTGCGTTTCTTTCTATTGTTCATTTATCATTTGCCCCTGGAGTTCCTCCTTGGCAACATCTAACCATTGCCTGCTGCGTCTCAGAATTTCTGGAATTCCAAGGGAAGACTGATTAGAAGATTATCCTTGAGTCTTCATGCTTGACGCTGCAGTTTCTGAGTGAAGAACATGACAAGGGACCACCACCCTAATGGGTATCAGATTGGGTATCAGATTTTTTGGACAATATATTGTCCAGCAAAATGTGTTGTCCTTACAGGCCTTCTATATGTTATGGTCTCATGATCATATTAAAAGGAATGGGAAGGATGGAAGGATACAGCTTGGAGAGTTAAAAATCTTGGTTCCTGGTATAAACAGAGTATTTAAATTCTGAAATGCTATATTAGCTGTATAGAGACAAGTGTCAGAATTGCCATAGACTAATATAAGGCTTTTAAAGATGATTTATTTTTTCCAATAAGACATACATTGCATCCATTTCTAAATTGACACTTAACACTAAAAGTTTTTGCATGTCTACGACCTTGTAGACAGAAGTCAGCGGTGCAGATAAAGGGGAGTCCCACAGGTTGAGGACAGTCAAGTTTCCCAGTAGCAAGGTTAACACTTTATCTGTACGTGGGAGCAGAAGTGGAAGAACATAGATGCTCTACCCAGCTGACAGAGTCACTGCTTCATCAAGTCACCTCTCTGCCCACACAAGTTAGTTTCACCTCCTTCCCCTTTTACAGCTTCTCCACCGTCAACTCCTCCCCTCCCCGCCCCCCATCCCTCTTTCTTATTCCGGATGGAGCAAAGGGAGTTGCCCGTTATAAGGGGAAGCAAACAGGCACGTTGTGTTTACCTTATCTGAAATGGCCAAAAATGTAGATAGAACATATATACAGGAAACCACACACAGACTTTAATTTTAGTATTAGGTAGCTTATATTATGTTCAACTATTTTGTCCCACTTATTTTGTTGTTCTTCTTTTTCAGTTTTTTTGTATTGCTCTTAAAATTGTGTGTCTTTCTTGGTATTTTAACTTTTTTACTTACTTAATTTCCTTTTGTTGACTTTGAACTGTAATTAAAGTGATTTGATTTGCCTCAGTTGTTTTTTCTCTGTCTTTTTCTTGACAGCTGCACAAGGAGAAGAAAGGGAGTGTGCCTTCACAGACCAGCAGCAGCAATGGGAGGTTGAGCGAGTAGCAAGTGTTGAAGGCCGTGTTTCTTCTGAGAACACCACCATCCGCTGTGCCAAGGGCAGTCGCTGTTTTGGCTTGTGGGAGAAAAGTCCTCCAGGCGAAGTCAGACTAGTCAAACAAGGTGCGATATGATATCAGGCGTCAACACTTCTACAATCATAGGAAGTGCAAATTTGACAGAATTTGCACTTCCTAAAATATTTGTGTGTACAAAAAGTTTTATTTTCATGAATTTCATTTAGTTAATATAACATTTAGTCTCAGTTACAACTGTCATGTTTTACATTTGATTTTGATTACCTGTTTGCACAGATTTCTTTACAAAAAAGTTTATTACCTGTTTATTTTAAATGTAAATCAAATTAATAAAGCTATTCCTTTATTTGTTTCTGTTATATTTACCTAGGTTTTTTTTTTCTATTTATATGTTTACAAAAAAGTTCATTTTCAATTGATTTTTAAGTGCCTAATCATACATATGGCGAATGGCACTGTTACAAAGCCAAGAGGAAGTGACCATAGATACAATATCTCACCAAGCCAATACAGCCAACTGATTGCTGTGATATATCAATTAGCAAAAGCTTGTTATCTGCCACTGTGATGATATCATAAATTACTTCACTTGTACTGACACATTTACTGTCAGATAGGCTGACGTAAAAAAAAATCAACTTGACAATTCAGATTCAACAGAAGTCAACTGTCAGAAGGCCTACTTCAGATTGCTTCTGCCTCAATGCCTTATTGTAAACAGTAAACAAAATTTGGGTGTGTGTGTCTGATGCCATCATGTAAATATCACATTAAGCAAATGCATCCGTTGAAAAAATAATTAGGCAGACAAATGATTCCAAGGAGCTCAATGAATGGACACAGGTTCTCTACAAAATCTCATCTCTGCAGAATGAACATAATCACATCGATTCTCTATTTCTTTCTCTCTCTCTTTGTCAGGGTGTTGGACTCACCCGGGAGACAACCAGGGCTGCCACGATGATCGCTGTGTGGTGACAAACCTCCCTCCACAGATGCAAAATGGCACGTACCACTTCTGCTGCTGTGGAAGTGATATGTGCAACGTCAACTTCACAGAGGACTTTCCCATACCCAGCCCCACAACTGCACAACCCATATGTAAGGAAACCAGGGTTATTCTGATACCCCTTTTCACACACCAATACAAGTAGAATCATTTTCATTTGAGTACCCACTGATACCAATATGTCCTTAAGTTGGATTTTTTTATGATTACACAGTGAATTGGAAGGAAGGTTTAAATAGCTGGTTAAAGAGATTCAGCTCCACAGCAGGGAACTTAACTTGTGCTGCCTTTTTAAAAACAACCATCAAAATACACCCATGAGTTTAGTTATTTGGAAAGCAAGGCAGGAAAAGGATGTATTTGCAGAGTAATGTGGCAAAATATTAATAATAAATTATTTAGTCACTTTTTGTCACTACATGGTGGACATTTTGCAATCAACACATGGCTAGCACTGGAGGCACAATTAGAGATACGTGGTTCCAACCTAGGATTCAATACGTGTTTTTGTGATCATTCGAGGTCAAACTTGAAATTGGGATAAATTGCATAGCAGAATAACTGTTTCCGTAGAAATAGTCACAGCAAATATGTGATATAAATTATGTATCACTTCACTTCAGTCTATTGAGGCAAAACTTTTAGGAGCCTTTTTTCAGCACATTCTTCAGTAAAGTTAAAAAGATAAATGTAGTTTTGTTACTGGTTTTCCTTTACACACTACACAATACTGTCTCTCATGTATCATGCACACTTTGTTGCAAGCTTTTTGAGGTGATTGTTTTGTTAAACCCCTAGAGAAGAATAGTTGATTAAAAAAATGGTATATGAACTAAATAATAGTGGTTCCAATCTACAACAGTCCGTGTTTTTTAAATATTTATTACAACAGGCTAGTTTCCAGATTTATTACTATTAAACTGTCACATAAGAGTCTTTAATGCTGCAAATGCATTTTTTTTTCATACATTTTCACATTTAAAGACTTATAAAGTGAGTAAGCTTTGTGTTGATCATTCATTGCAGTCTACGACCTCTTTGAAGTGAATAGATTCATTGGATTTGAGTCGAGTTGAAAGATTTTGCTTGTGTGGATTACTTTAAACAAAAGGCAATGATGGCAGTTGTTTAAAAATTTGACGATCCATGTGCCATGTATTCTTGTCTCGACCTCCAAATGAAGTGTCAAACACAGGAAACAAGTGCATTGTTAATTGTTTGATTCACTAAGGTAGAGCTATGAATGACAGCAGTGTGTGGTGGTGGTAGTAGTCGTGTGTAGAGGGTGAGGGAGCTTAGAAGCAGTGGCGGCAGCTCCTCATCTGTCCTGCCTACACATAAACACAAACACTGTGCTGTTCATGTCGTCCATCTGCATTCCACGGATTACTAGGCGTCTACTCTATCTTCCTGTCTGCGGGCGTGTCTGTGACTGATCCATTGAATAAGGCAGAAGATAAGACAGACAAAGTAAGTCAGGTGGAGAAATCCATATTGTGATAGGACAACAGTTTTTTTAACAATCAGCAAGATTCTTTTTTTTTTATCCCAAAGGTCTTTGTTTTGTTTTTGCTAGACTGCTGAAGCCTAACATGTCTGGGCAAATTTGTGACGCTGTAAACAGAAGGAATGAAATACCATGAATGCGATCATAATAATTCCACTTATAAATGCTTTTCATTTCATTACCTTTGAGTACTGGGAACCACTGGGGTGTTTGTTCAGACTTTCAGTGCTTTCATGTTGAAGATGGTGAAAATGATGGATCACAGAATAAATCTGCAAAGGTGAAGCCAAACAGTCAGTTGGAAGTGTTTAAATGGCTTCAGTACTACTAGCCACTGCTGTTTGAAAGCCCTTCTGTCAGGTGACATGTTATTATTTATTCACCTGCTCACTTTTTTCCATATTCTATTTCAACTCTCCTCACCTGTGACAAGATCTGTAACCTTCTCATCTGGCCCCTATAATTTGCTTTGCTAAAGTAGTAACAGCAGAAACTAAGGTGGTGGGAAGCACAACAGATGTTATTATGCAAATTGTCTATTGTTGTATTTTTTTGGGAAATGCTCTTAGTTAAAAATATAATTTGACTTGTGTTTTGTCCTGTACGGTGGACAGTGTCAAATATTTTATCGTCATCAAGTGCATCAAGTGTTTATCTTACAATTTCCTGTCCAACCCATCTGTTGATTGTAAACTGCATGGCCTTAGTATTTGAGGGCAATCCTCATCAACCCCTCTAACATCTATCTGTGCACATTGGTGCATGTTTATTATACAATGTCGGTCAAAGCCACCCTAAGGCTCTCTGAGCCATCAATTATTGATAAAGCTCCCAGCAACAGTAATAGTATGTTGGCTTATGTATCCAATGCACACTAGCGCGTGCAGGTTGCTGCACTGTGACTTTGCACAGTATAGAATAGCAGTATATGAGAGATAATCAACTGTATGTGTATGGTGTCTCCTGTTCTCTTTCTTTCTGGTATAGACCTTATAGCTAATGCAGTTTCATTCATCAGATGCACCACATCGGTCCATCTGCAGCCACCCAGGCTAAACGCCTTCTTCATCACTGCAGATAGATTCATCTGACCAACTATTTATTTTACCCATATTATTTTTTCATTATTCTTTCTTCTGTTGTCATTGATGTCCAACAAAACTACTTCTCCAGTCTTCCTGCATTGCTTACAGCTTAGAGTTCCCAGCCTCTCTCTTTATCTGCAAACACAGACATCCAATGAACCCACAACACTTAAGTGCTGGGCTTTGCTGTCAAGCAATTACTTTATTATTATTGTTACTAAAAAAGTAACAATATACGGAGGCATTAACAGAGGAAATCGGCTAAGAGACTTCCTGTATATAAACTAAAGCTAAACTTGTAATATATATATGGTTCAGTTCATATAAATGTTGGTGTTAAAAACAAATATCTCCACATGCATACATTTGTAAATGTATTTGTAAATATTCCAAATACATTTGTGAATCCTTGTTTGTGCATTTATTCTTTTTGAGACTGGCTAACTTCAAGCAGATATTTGGCCTTTACCTCCAGATTGCTTCAATCTATTTTATTTTAAGTTTATTGTGGCATATATAACTTATTTTTGTTTTAGAACTTCCTTTAATAGTTGCAAAAATATCATGCGAATAGAGTTAATGAGAAATAAATGCAGATGCTCTTTATTATCCCTTGTAGCTTAAGCTCACCAGTGTCAATTAAGATCTTTCTGGTCCCATTAGAGCCAATTGGATTAGCGTTAGGGTTATATTTTTTACACTGTTATAAGGTGGAATAAGAGGTCTCTATTTGATGTGTTCTGTGTATTTTCTTTTAAAAATATGTCCCATTTTTTTCCAGATCCTCGCACCCTACGCAATGGAGAGATGTTAATTATTGCCCTGGCAACAGTCTCTGTGATGGCTGTGGTTGCTGTAGCAGCCTTTTTTGGTTATCGCATGATGCATGGTGAGTTGCCATGGTGCCACTCTGAAAATAAGCGAGACATTGAATATTATTCAAGGATGTTTTTCCTTTCCGATTTTCTATTCTAAAAGTAGGATCAGTACTTGTCACTACTTGAAATGCATCAGCATAGTTTGTTCTTTTGGTTTGTTAACAGGAGACGGTACACAGGGCCTTCACAATCTGAATATGATGGAGGCTGCTGCTTCAGAAAGTTCTTTGGACCTAGACAATCTCAAACTGCTGGAGGTGAGTCTTGGTTTGAATTATTTTAGTTCTAAGTTTGATGTTCAGTTCTCTTCCTTTCATGTTTGATTAAATTGCTTAATCAACCCACAGCACAATTAGTCTAGTGGTAGGATTCTCTTTTAAATTCACTCGGTCCAAGATTAAAACATGACTGTGGTAAAATGGAAATAGATAAGTCAGGCCACAAACAATATTTACTACATTCGTGACCAAAGAGGATATGTCAACCAATACAAAAGACAGTATTTTTAGCATCAGAAGCAAACACTGGATTGCATAAGAATTATAACTCAACAAGTTTAGGTGTTGTCATGGCATCAACACACTAATCAATTCCTGCAACAAGTTGGGTCACTTCGAAGGATGGCATGCTGATTATTGATGGTGATGTGAAAGTGAACCTTTTATTGATTAAATTTGTAAACACAAACTTAAAGAAAATACCTAAAAGTTCAGCAATATACAAGTACAGCTTAATGATGACGGCAGCTAAAATCATGATTATGATTTGTCTTAGCTCTTATTGATGACAGTGCACAAGTGCAGATAATGTATGTATAATTAATTTAAGCAGGTCCCTTTTTCACACTGGCCCCTGCCATTTTACACACAGGGAGTGTAGAATGTCATTAGGAAAATGAGAATAAAGAAACCTCAGTCCCACGGGTCAAAAAGACGACCCAAAATACACTAGAGTTTACAGTTACATTCGCCATTTTCAATGTGACTTCCACCACCTGATCGTAGCGGGACGTGTTAAGTGACGCATCCGGACACACAAAAATAGGAATGCGCTTTCCCAGATACAAGATCCTCAAAACTCGATACGGATGTAGCATACATTGTGGTAGGAAGTCAAAGGGAGCTGGCTGATATTCAGTACAGGCAGACAAAGAAACAGATGCAGCTACAGACTGAAATGAAGCCACAGCCAACGGACACAGGCAGTTGTGGCATAGAATAATAATAAAAAAAAAACACGACTGCATGACCTTACAGTTCAGCTAGGTTATCATTCCTGACCGGTAGAACAAAAATGCTGTATAAAAGTGTAGATAAGAGCATGGCAGCACATTTTGTCATGGCTGACAAAATTATAAGGCAGCAATAAGACCTGCTGTGACTTATGCTTCGGAGACTGTGGGTCTGGCAAAAAGGCAGGAGGCAGAGTTAGAGATATCATAGTTGGAGATGCTGAGATTTGCATTTTGCACAAAAATAGAAATTACAATATAAGAGGGACAGTTATGGATTCTTGAGATAGTATGGCACACAGAAGAAAAAGATACTTCAGAAAAGGGATGAAGATGGATGGTGTCAAAGGAGGCAAGGGTGAGCAGATCCCTGAAAATCTTGTTTGTATAACTTTCTTATTCAGAGGAAACTAGACAAACAGCATACATTGCATATGAGGAGGATGCTATGTACAATCAGTACACCAGTCCTGCTTGCAGCTTGGCGTCAATTGGCTTATCCACCTGTGAGTCATAAGTTGAAATTTGACCCACATTGTTGTCGAACCTTATTACGTAATAGACCAGAGGTAGTTGCTGGCAGGAACTTATTTAGTTCATTCAAAAAAAATCCAATCATATTCATTTACCTTCTTTATTTAAAGATAATCTCTCTGATCTCTGATGGTCGCATTACTTTATACTACTCAGCGTTTGCGCTCTAGATTGACTGGCCTCGAATTCCTTGTGCAGTTCTTTATGGCGGTGCGACAGGTGGTGATCAAGGTTGGTAGTGTTACCTCTAGATGTTGCTACAACACTCTGCAAGTCCTGCACTGTACCTGAGCCTGTAAATCGTCTTCCTGCTTGAATCCACAGTATTGCCAAATTATGGAGGTGCAATTTCTCTCTCCCACAAGCTTCACTTAAAGCTCTTTGCAGTGGGGTAAGGGAAGTGGCGTGAAGCCTAACTCATGGCAATTTTGTGTTTTCTTTTATTCATAAAAAAGAAGAACCCAAGGAACTCCAACTCATTTTTTTAACATTTTTTTTTTGCAATTTTGACCTGTAGTGTTAACCTGGATTGAGACCAGTAAAAATTGAAATCTTATAAAGTTCTCATTAAGTAAAGGAAACTTCCTTACACACTGAAATCATGTTCTATAGTACAAAAGGATTCTGAGAGTGACTCAAAATTTTCAGCTCCTATCGGCAGCTATATGAAAAGACATGACCCTCAACTGACAGCAAAGAGTAAGCCACATGTGATAAATGTTTTTCTTTCTTGCATTCCATTTTTAGCTGATTGGACGTGGAAGATACGGCACAGTGTATTGTGGTTCGCTGGATGAACGGCCTGTTGCGGTCAAGGTCTTCACCGCAGCCAATAGACAAAACTTCCTGAACGAATGCTCCATCTACAGGCTGCCGCTCCTGGAGCATGACAACATTGTCCGTTTTGTAGCTGCTGATGAACGCACAGGACCAGAAGGACGCACAGAGTACTTGCTGGTTATGGACCACTATCCACATGTGAGTAATGAAAAATAGACCTTATGTAAGGTTATGGTTGAATTTTATTTATCCTGCACTGGATAAATACCTGTTGGCAGGCTACTGTGTATCAGGTGTCAATGAGTTAGAAACTAGTTTTTGCTATTATCATTTTCCGCAATGCAAAAAGGCTCCATCTCAGAACTCACATATCACTGTTGACGTATTTACTTATTTTCGGAAATCATGGGCTATAATACAGATGCATGTGACGCAAAACACTGCTGGCACACTTGGGTGTGTAATTAATTTCAGTGCAACACAATTAGGTCAACATGGATTTAATATAAAGCAAATAGACTACTACCCTTTATGTTTAATTATAATTAGGTGGACAAGGCTACCAAGCACTGCACCCACTCCCATCAATCATTGTAGTGGGAAGTGTGGGCCTTAGGTGACCAAGACATTCTTTGGTTGATTACAACCTAGAATTTTGGACAAAATGCTTAAAAACTGTGACTGCATTTTAGGTTTATAGCTAATGAATGCAGAAATACAGTCAGGTGTTACTTTTTTTTTTTCTTAAAGGTCTTCTATCAGCCAGAATTTGGGTGAAAGATAATTATATATATTTTTTTTTTAATTGCAGAAAATTTACTATGATTAGCAGAAAAGTTGCCCAGGGTAACTGGCTTAATGTCAGTGGGGAGAAATATTAACGACTCCTGACTATAAAAACCCTGAGGCAGCTGAGTGCAGAGAAAGCAAACATGGGCAGTGACAACACTGCAAATGACTGCTCTCCAGAACTAAATATATTTGCCCTCTAATACTTGGCTTCATGATTATCCTGGCAGGCCTCTAAAAGGAGCCCATTATAGATTACAATCATTACTCTAATGCCAGTTGTCATAGGAACAGAGAGGAAGCCAGGTCACAAGACTGAGACGACGAGTACATATAGGTAAATGACAACATAATTTATTTAAACTACGCTGATCTATTGTAATTACATTAGACCTGCATAGTAGCAGCTAAGTCTAGCTGTTCTGTGATTCTAAAAGCTCAGACATTGCTGGATTATATCAGAATAGTACAAAAAGATTTTCAGTGGGGTGTCTTGTTTTCATAAGGCTCCTTTCTTTAAAAAAATAAAATAATTAATACTAACACTTGAATTATCTTTAGGCCAATTTTTCTATCTTTTCAGAATTTTGGTTTAACACTGGTCTCGTAGCTGTGTTTTTACTAGTAATAGTAATTTTTAGGAGCTTTTAGTAAAACCATCACTCAAAATAAGCCTAATGTCCTGTATGCATTTGTGCACTCGTTTGACACTCGCCCGTCCTGCTATTTAGCTATCTAACAATGTAAGTGCACTTGGCTGCTTACTGAAATTCTTCTCGGGTTGTCATCCTGAGGCCACCTCCCTGTTTCCCTGTGGTGACTCAGCGCCTGACTAAGTTACTGCAGTGAGAAGAATCCTCTTTGAATATTTGGCTGTTCGGGGAGCTTTTCTTTTCCTCAGTTTCCTTGACGTACATTTTTGGAATTCTTTTTGATTGCTATCTCTGATGGGAATAAAATTAGCCAGCAGCATTTCCAGGCATATTTAAGTGAGCAACACTACTACAACAGAAGTGATTTCCCTGCTAATCATCAACCAATATACAAATGTATGTTTTCCTTTATTTATTATTTTATATTTTACATTATGATTATTATTTATTATTTTTATACTGTAAATACATGTTGTGGTTCTTTTTACTGCTTTTTCATCAAAGTGTCCATATTTGTTTTTATATTTTGCTTAATATAAGTCAAAAAGCAACTAAATGTCAATATAGTGGATTAGGAATTCACCAAATTAAAAATATTTGGCCAAAACAAAAAACTGAATATTAGTTAATACATGCCAAAAACTGAAACGGCTAAAGAGATGATCTTGCACCATTGCTCTATTGGCTGTGACTGTGTGTCTATCTCATATAAGTCACAGCATCATTAAATATGAATGCTTCAAATAATACATTAATTATGTAATTATTAAAATAGTTCTGAATGATGACATTTCAATAATGCCCAAAATAATAAGGAAGACTTTGAGATTGAAACTAAAATAGGTAAAATTTGGCTCTAAGATGTGCACATGAATAGAAAGAAACGGAAAGCTACAAATACAACACTAAAACTCTCTAATAACACTCTTATCTAAAATACCTACCTACAAATAGCAAAAAATACAAAACCACTGCTTTCATTATCATAATACAGTTAGGTGGGTTGTAAAGCAAAACCAATCAGTATCATATCATTAAGGATGTCTTAAACTTCAACATTTTTCACATTGAATGTAAGGATTTTTAGCTATTTATCTAATTCATTGAGTTTCCTCTACCCTTCCTTTCCTTGTGTCCTTCCCAGGGCTCTCTGAATAGCTACCTGAGCAGACAGACCAACGATTGGGTCAGCAGCTGCCGGCTAGCTCATTCTGTCACTCGTGGCTTGGCCTACCTGCACACAGAGCTTTTTAAAGGAGGTGAGTTGGGTTGTTACACATAATGTTTTCAGCACAACTACATTAGATAGTGAGGCCCAGAATAGTAGAAAATTTACTTCAACTGCCACTGCAGCTTCACATGGGTCTGCTTGACAGACAATAGGAACTGGGAAATTATGCCCTGATGTTGATACAGGCCCCAAAAAAGTCAAATCCACCCTGGATAAATATGTATGTGACCAAAACATTTACACAAACCAATAGTGCTTAAATCAGAAAATGATGGATAAAAGTTACAAAACCAGTACAATTTACAGAAAGATAAAACCTTTACTCTAATAAAACTGAATTGATTTTCCATGAAAACAATTCATCTAGATACAATAAAGTCACACTAAAAATTAGAACAGAAAATACAAAGTTAAACAACAAAGGCCAGTTCATACATAGTAGAACAGACATTGACCCAAAATATCTACATATGATTCGAATGACCTACATTTTGCAAAGAATATTAAATCAACATAAGCTTAGTCATTAGCCCAAGATATTCAAAGGCTTACTTAAAAATGACCTTCAAAAGGGCCGTATCTTTGAAAAACACTAATGGTGAGTGAACACCTAAAGGAAAAAAATAATAAAAAGAAGCTGAAAGTTTCTAGAAAAAAATGTAGGTGGATTTTGAAAGTGCTTTGAGCAGAGAATCTCTGAGGCATTATCCATTGTCCCACTATTTTACTGGCAGCTGGTGCAACTTACAGTAAACCTCAGCCATATAACAGGGAGGGGCTATTACAACATATAATATGTGTTAATCTCATTAATGTAGATCAAATTAGAGTTTAAATTGACATTGTAGCTTTGTTCTTAAGAACAGTGAGCACTGCAGAAGAATGTGATGGCTCAGCAATACCTCAAAATGCATATTTACATACATAGAAAAATACATATTTTTTGTGTGACATAGTCCATGCTTTTGTTTTCAACCCTTCAGACTTGTACAAGCCAGCAGTTTCTCACAGGGACCTAAACAGTCGAAATATTCTGGTGAAAGCCGACGGCACTTGTGTCATCATTGATTTCGGCCTGTCCATGAAGCTGACAGGAAACAGGCCGGCACGTCATGGTGAGGAGGAAAATGCTGCAATAAGTGAGGTGAGTGTTAGCAGCAAAGCACCATTGATTTCTCAGTTTGATTTTCTTTACTTGCCGGATCAGTGTCCCAACTAATTATTTCTAATATTAATTTTAATATTTAGATTTTAACAGTTGTTTTTTGATATGTGATCCTGAAATTTTGAGTAGTGGATCGAGCTATTCCTACTTACAACATTAGAAATTTAGCTTTAGATAGCTAATCTAAAGTCTACACGTGTTGGTTCTTTCTGAATATCTTTCAGAATCTCACCAAAACACACAATACAGATTATTTTATTTCTCCTAAAAGGTGGGAACTATTCGCTACATGGCACCTGAGGTCCTGGAAGGGGCAGTGAACCTGAGGGATTGCGAGTCAGCTCTAAAGCAGGTGGACATGTACGCCCTTGGCCTGGTCTACTGGGAAACCTTCATGAGATGTACAGACCTTTTCCCTGGTGAGAGACTTGTGGATTCTCTGTCATGATCACTACTTTGACATTATTGGCCTTTCACTTTACTTTTCACTTCATCATTGTATTTTAACTGAGCTATACTGAGACTCTTTTGTATTCAATTTTTTAAAATGTTTTTCAGCCTAGAGTGTTGTGCTTTCTTTACTCCCCAAATAATTCTACACCTTAAACAGGGACAAAAAAGCAGATTACTGCTGTGGAAATGCCCTTTTTCATTTTGCTGCTTCATAGTACTCGTTCCTACAGTGGGCAGTTCCAGTGTTTATCCTAGACATTATCATTGTTTCAGTTGGAAAAATCAATGTCTTAAAGAGACAAAAAATGCAACACAATTAAATCTATATACTCCTCCCCCTTTGTAGGAGAATCTGTACCAGAGTTCCAGATGGCATTTCAAACAGAGGCTGGGAATCATCCGACATTTGAAGACATGCAGGTGCTTGTATCCAGGGAGAAGCAACGGCCATTGTTCCCAGAAGCATGGAAAGAGAACAGTTTGGTTAGTGTTTGAGTGTTTTTATAGGACAGAAGTCCCAGCAAACTTTTAATTTAAAATTGTACTGATAACACCCGTCAAAAGCTTTATGTTAATGTACCAACATGGTTATGGTGTTGAGAGTCACCTTCCTGTGTGGAATTCCTACCACCATTCTCAAAACTAAAAAAAATCCCACCAAAGCAAAGTTTTGCCAACATTTATTAAGAAGTTATAGTTATCTGTAACCAGACCAGGTGAAATAATTATGAATATTTTTTTCCTTTTCTTGCTTTGTCAGGCTGTTCGCTCTTTGAAGGAGACCATGGAGGATTGTTGGGACCAGGATGCAGAAGCCCGTCTTACAGCGCAGTGTGCTGAGGAGCGAATGGCAGAGCTGCTTCTTATCTGGGACCGCTCTAAATCTGTTAGTCCGACTCTCAACCCAATGTCCACCACTCTGCACAATGAGAGGTAAAGACATCAGCTGTGAGACTTATTCTCAGGTTCTATCCACACCTTAGTTGTTCTGATTTATTTAATCCATTTTTTATTTTTGTTTGTCTTTTTTTTCCCTCAGAAACCGCATGACGACAAAGTCTGGCCCTTTCACAGACCATCCTTCCAGTTACATTGAGGAGCATGAGGGTATGGCCAAGAACACTCAGACGGATACTTCTACTTCTGTGAGTGGTAGAGCTGTAGCCGGGACTGGAGAGAGAAACAGGAACTCCATCAATCAGGAGCGCCAGCAGCAGGCTAACGCCCGTCTGCCCAGCCCAGAGGGCAGCAGCACCAGCATGGGTCTGAGATCAAGCCCTTCAGCCTCCACCACCACCACTACTATTATCTCTGAGTCTGAGGGAGCTGCCGGGGCCGTTACTGTCCCCGGCTGCCTCCACCTGACGCAGGAAGACCTAGAAACCACAAAGCTGGACCCAAAAGAGGTAGACAAAAACTTAAAGGAGAGTTCAGATGAAAACCTGATGGAGCACTCACAGAAACAGTTTTGTTCACCAGACCCACTAAGCCCCAGTAGCACCAGCCTACTTTATCCTCTGATTAAGATGGCAAGTGAAGCCTCGGGCACACCAGAACCCGTTCCCAATATTCCAGCCCCCATTTTCCCCCTGCCTAAACAGCAGAACCTTCCCAAAAGGCCATCTAGTCTGTCCCTGCGCACCAAGCCTGTGAAGAAGGAGTCCTCTTCACTGAGGTTCAAGTTTGGACGATCGGGGAAATCCAACCTGCGGCAGGTGGAAGGAACAAAGAGAAACACTGGTGCTGGAACAGGGACACACTCGGCTGTAGAGGTTCACCGGGGCACAGGCACCAACAACATTCCTGTTCTACGAGAAGTGCACACCAACGGTAGTGCTAACGGAGCTGTTAACGGACACGCCGGCCCTGGTATGTCTGCAGACGGCCCAACAGGTTTTGTAGCATCAGGCATAATCCATAATGGGTCTGTAGCCATGAGATCAGACGACAGTCGTCTGAGCCTCGGCGTCATCACAGCCAGCCCTGATGAAAATGAGCCACTTCTGAGCCGAGAGCGAGAGCAGCCTGATACGAGAGACCCGTCTTCAAGCGTCGCAGCCTTGCGGTCGGCCCGACCCAACGCTAACAATAACAACAGCAACACTGGCCAAGGCCGGGAGGATGGTGAAAGTGGAGGCGAGAGTGATGTAGGAGAGGAGGCTGGGAGTGGAGACAGAGGAAGCAGGGAAACAGCAGGGCCTCCCGGAGACGGTGTTGTGTCTGGATGTGGTGCAACAGAGGAAGCTCCAGCTGTCGTCATAAGGGAGGCTCAGCTGCGACAGCCCAGAATCCGCAGGCCCGAGAGACCCAACTCGCTCGACCTGTCCTTCACGACACAGGACCTGACTTCACTAGGTGACACACTTTTTCATTTCAACTGCTAAACACCACTACATTTTCCTCCCAACACTGCAACCATTTGTGGCATCAAAATGTTGTACACCTCTCTAATTCTGTGATATTGTTGGGAAAATATTATTACTTAGACAAAGTAAGATCAGCTTAAGTGTTTTCAAACGTATCTCAGATACAGTGTAATGCTGTCTAGACATTAGCTTCACTAGCAAAAACACAACTGCTATTGTAAAAACAACAAAGTGTTTTAACATGACATAGTCCATAAGGTAGCTGAAATTGATAAACTTTAGAATCACTCATCTTTTAACTTCCTATTTCCCAGAGGATGGTTTGATGCAGGCGGACGGGGCCCTGGGGACAGGAGATAAAATTAAGAAGCGCGTCAAAACGCCATATTCCCTGAAGAAGTGGCGACCTACTACGTGGGTGATTTCCACAGACACCCGAGGGCCTGAAGTCAACAACAACGGGTCTGCCCACAGGCAAGGTCACGGTAACAACCGACCCAAGTCAAGTTCAGCTGTCTATTTGAGAGGAGGTAGTTTGTCCAGTGAACCCAGTGACACACATGTGTGAACCCTGACCCTGTGACCAGACCGAAAAAAACAAAATAGATGAACAGAGCCTGTTGGGTTTTTCTCTGTTTAGCTCTGAATCAGCAACAGGAAGCTATGAGATGTTTGTGTGAAGCGTCCTTTGAGTCCAATGGTGTACAGTAATAAGGCTTCTCTGTGTCTTCTGTGTGTCTTTCTGAAGATGGCTTTGCTTTAAATGGAATCCAGCTATGCAGCATTCTCAGTGTTTTTTTAATGTTTTTTTTTGTTTTTTTTTTTAGCTTCCTTCTGTTGGCCCGCGAGCAGTAACGTTTTTAAACAGTTTTCTTTATTTTTATTTCCTTCCTATGTGCACTTTGAACCATTTGAAATCAGTGTTTTCTTTTATCCTGACCTCAACATGAAGTGGTCTAAAACTTAAGAAAGAAAAAATGGAATGGAGCGTAAACAGCGATGACAAACAATCAACAGACTTTGGTGTACCAAGCAACTCGAAATGAGTAATCTCTTTAAAATAATTAAATGTCTTAAAAGACAATATTAGGGCTGTCACTTTTCTGGCTAATTCATAATAACATTGTATTGACACAAAGATAAATGTAAAGTACTATCATAAATAAAAATCTACATTTTTCTTTTAAGAGCAGAGAAATAACTAAAAGAGCAGGTTATTTTAAAATAATACAGAGCTTTTTGGTCCTGAACGACCACAAAGATATTTATTTTTATTTTGCTTAAAGCGGGACAAAAGAACACAGACAGAGAGCCGTTTGTACTACGAAAACAGCATTGCAGTTAAATGCAGTGTTATGATGAGCTCCTATATATATTACGTCAACCCATATATGTTGCCTTTGGATGCTGCAGTGTCCAGAAGGACCAATAAGATTGATCACTTACACCAAAACATTCCAGAGTCACTGTTCTTTTACCAATTGGGCCACGGTGAAGTTATGTTGTCTAAACCATGACACAAATTTTCACATGAACAGGTTACAAACAATTTACTTTGCAAAAGTAGATATTTTTGGAAACATTTTCAGTGGGTGACTTGATGACAAACTGGCTGCACATGAACTTGGCAAGCTGGAAATGTCCACCTGGCTTCAGCTGTCGTATCATGGCTGGACAGTTGGGCTCACTCCACATGAGTGTAGTTTTAATGGAACATTCTTTCAAACAGTGGGCACATAAAAGCAAACATACAAATGATCAGGATCTACATATGAAATTTTCTTCAAACAAGCAATAAAAATCAGCAAACATTAAGGTAAAAGCAAGACACCTGACATTTGTAAAACACTTGACCCCACAAATGTTCTTTTGCAGTTTTCAAAAATGCTGTTTTCTTTAACTTGTGACCCAAAATGTATTTATGGAGAAGCTTCTCAATACTTGGTTTTTACTCTTCAATTTCTAATTCCATCCTTGACTTTGAACAGATATCTAAACTGAAAAGGTGACAGTCCTATACTATATAAACTACTTTTTGAAAGTAATTTTTGTTCAGTTGTATGTGGTGCCAATTTTGTCTTTGACTATCCTTTTTTGTACAACAATTTTGGATTGTGCAATAGGATGTAGCTTTTTGGTATGTTCTCTTTTATTGCTTCAATATGGGTCCTTGTTTTATCATTTTATTATTTTCATATGGTAATGTATGTTGGACTTATAAATGTGTCACAATAATTCTGAAATCAATCTACCAGACTATATCACCCCCACCCTACCTGCCTTTTTAATCTTGAGAAGAAAATGGACTACTATCCTCAGCTTTTCTTTTCTACAGTGGACTATCTTCAGGGGGTACAAACACTAAACACTGATCCCAGTGTACTGGAAAGGGTTTTTGTGGCATTTCTCTACTTGCAAAAAAACAAAACAAAAACAAACATGGATGGCTACAAGACTAGAGGTTCTACAATCATGCCAGTCCAAACTACAGATGGATTTAACCAAGTTGTGAACGTTATACCACTACAGCCACCCACACTACAAGGCCTGGAAGTTAGTCTGTCTATATAAAGTACCCACCAAAGCACGCTGGATATAATTTATGCTTTTTGCCTTTTTATTTTTTAATCTTGGAGTAACTGATGTCAGTGAGTCCATTAATGAGCATTAGAATGTTTTGCGGACCTAGCACTGGCGTGCTGAAACGTCACTGCACCCATCTTGTATTTTTAGCGCTGCTTCAGAGCATATTAAAAGATCTCATTCGTTTTTGTAAAGTGTAATTTGTATAAGAAAAAAAAGTAATCATGTATGTGTACTACATTGATATTTGCATCATTTTATGGATTTTTTTTTTTGCATTCAATGGACATGGCATTTGATTCCATTGCTATGCATATGCTCGGTACAGTTTCTGTAAACATTTTCAAGTTAATATGGAAGAATAAATCTCAATAAATGTATGAAAGTATTGTAGGGCTTTTTTTTTTTTTTTGCTGTTAAACCTGGGAGTCTCAAAAGTATTTTTTCAGGGCCAAGTACTGCTCACAGTTACTAACTCCAACCAACCTTTTTTCCCCTCCTGCAACTCATCCAATGAACTCCAAGGTTGTTTTTTTTCTTTTCATCGTGCTTATCGTCATGTTTATCTGTTGTCCAACATATCCACTCTGTCATTGTTCAACTTATACCAGTCCCTCTGATCTTCTCAATTCTGATTTGTCCATCCTGGTCACTGAAAATCTTTGCATCTTCATTTCAGCTACCTCTAGCTTACCCGCTTGTCTTTTTAGATGGTAACACTGTCTACTTATCTTGCATCAAAACAGTGGGCTGTGGTGGCTTAGTGGTTGAGGAGGTGGACTTGGCTTCAGAAGTTGAATCATGACAGATTTACTTGTGACATTTCCTGCATCATTCATTTGTCTTGTCTGCATGTCTTTTCCATCTGTTCCAGGAAACAAAGAATACCTAATGATGGATGGGTAAGTGTAATTTTAACATTAAGCATTATTACAATATTCAATTGTAGAATATACTGTATGTAAAAATGGATGTAAGATTTCAGTTAAAAAAATACTAGCAAGTACCAACAATTATTTTATTACACAGAAAATTATCATTTTAAATGGGTGACATAGTGGTTAAGGAAGTGGACTTGGGTCCGGAAGGTTTCAGGTTTGAGTCCACCAGCTGCCAAGTTGTCACAGTGGTGCTCTGATCATGGCACCGTCCCCACACACTGATCCTGGGTGTTTAAAGCTGCCCACTGTTCACTTTGGTGATGGGTTAGAAACAGAGGTCACATTTGGTTGTGTGCAGTGGTGAGCTGTGTCACAATAAGGAGTTCACTTTCACTTTGCACTTAAACAGATCTCACCATTGTCTCATAAACATTCCCTTTCAAATTTGCAATCTCCACCTTCACTCTTTGGCAACTCTGTGTGGTTGATTTCATCTACTACTGTGCTTATCTCTGTACACTACCTTTTTTGCAGCTTCAATTCCCCTGCATCAATCACTTCTTCTGACCTTCACTTTTCCAGGTTTTCGTCCATGGCTGCATACCCTCACAGATGACACTGTTACAAGCAATGTAGTAATATGTTAAGTTAATTCAAAATTGCCCTAACTTTTGGAACAAACTGTTCTGAGCTTAAAACATCCAATATGGCAGCCTGTAGGGAAGCCTCATTTTAGTTTAAAAAAAGCTACAATTCATACTTAAATAAGTATGAAATTATAAGTAAGTAACAAATTATAAAAGCATTCGTCACAACATTCAAGGGCAACATCTCTGCCAATAGAAATAGCATGCTACTCTGTTGCATGGATGAACCTCTAATATAATCACTGTTTACATTGTGTTGCATTACTAACTACCAGAACCTTCTACTGGTCAGCACCCCCCTCCACCCACCCCCACTCCCTATAATGTCTGAATTTAAAAAGAATAACCTACAGAAAAACAGTGTTCTTCCTGTCACTCTCTGATCTGGACAAATCCTTTATTAAGTATTAGGATTAAAATACTGTGCCTCTGCTGCTGGAACGCACCAAAACGATCATGTAACAAAAAGATTAAACTGCTTGACTTTTGGCAATGATGACTGATATTGATGACAACACGTACAACACAATTCAAAAAGTGTCTCAATTGTGTAAAAAAAAAAAAAAAAAAAAGCCCGCCATGTTGGCTCCATTCACGACACAGTGACAGTGAGCGGGCGCAAGGGGGAGACATTTTCCGTTCTTGCATCTCTGCGCCTTCTGCTCCACGCGCCCTAGCAACTGCAGCATCAGCGCGAGACGCACAGCGCTGCTGCAGCGTCACAGCACCCCGTAGGTTATGTTAAGTTAGAAAGCAGATGACCAGAAATGCATTCCTCTATTTTAAGAATAAAAACAAAAGTATATTTGTGGCGTTTACTGTGGTTTGGTATCAGTTTATTTGCCCCAGAATTGTACTAGAGCGGTTGATTCATGTTTAAGCTGATAATCAATATTGATTTTGTCTCTTGTCACCAGAGAAGAGGACAGCGCCGATGTTTTATTGTGAAAGGAATAACCGGAAATGCACATGTACAAACTACCGTGATTAGCTATATTGGTCCTCCCGTCGTGTCAACCGAGGCTAGCCCAGCATCACCGTTACCCCTTCTATATCCTTCGTGTTGTTATTATGGTGTCTTTTTTATTTATCGATAATTTTGTTGTTTATATTCACGGTTTGCTGAAATTATTTATCAGTCTATAAATGCATGTTAGAGTTCGTTTTGATTTTATTTTATTATTTTACAAAACATTGTGACTGTAGCTGCCTCGGCCATCGTGCCGCATCCCCGAGTAGAGAGAAAAAAAATTTATCCATCCACGACGAGGACGTAAAAAAGGCAGACTGCAAGTACGACGGCGCCAATTTCCACAAAATTCATGTGTCCACAAAAGCTGTTCCGTCTTTCAGTGTTATGTTGTTAGCAAAAGAAGCTCTCCTCGCCTGTAGACGACCTCACCCCAGCTTCACTCGCCGCCTGTGTAGCATCCTGACGCAGACACAAACATCAGTGGATACGGCGGGATACGTAGGAGCCCTGTGCTCCTAGAGGTGCAGCATCTCGTTGAAGCAGGTGAGCTGAGATTTTGTTTTTCTTCATGTTTTCATTTCATTCAACCGTGAGATGGCGTTATCAATTCAAGTCGTTTCATTTGCAAAATGTTTTGTAAACAAGGTTTCTCCAGCACACACGCCTACCACGTCTGCTTGTTTATGATGTTCTGTTTGTTGCTAAATGTTTGGCTATTTGTTATGAACAGCAGTAAGTGCAGCTGATCCAAATTTAAACGTTAGTAAAATTGATGTATTAATTGTGTTGTAAAGATATGTTGCAATATAATTCTAAAAATAAAGGCATTTATTTTACAAAAAAATAAAATAGAATATCAAATCGTTAACAGATTAAAAAAACTAAGAGTTGATTTAAAAAAATATGAACTACTCGATTTAAACTATGCTATGAATTACATTTTTTAAAAATCTGAAATTTAACTTTATATTTAACTAATATTTAAAATAAAGTAGGGGAATGGATAAAAAAAGTTATTCAGCTAAGGAATAGCTAAATGTCAGTGGAAAAGTCAAATATATCCATAAACATCATAGCAAAAAACCATTATACACATACATGAACACTGGCATTAGTAGACCATTGTCAGCTGTCATAAACATAGCTGTATCTGCTCAGAAAATGTTGTGTTACAAATTAAAGGTAGTCAAAAGCTAATTACTGAAAATAACATATATAAATATGTTTTATCTAAGATTAAGGTATGAATGCTTAATTGCTATAAATGATAGATATAGATTTTTTTAAAGAAGCTTTTATAATTTAAAGTACAATATGTTTACTACAAATGTAGCCAAACCATACAGCAGCAAGTTACTTCAAAACTGCTAGAAATCAGTACAAAAAGTTTAGTCAAATCATCCCACACTAAATCAGAAAAAACTAAAAAAAATCAATAAATATTGCAGGTGGCTGGTTGGCTAGCAAGACTTTCTTTCTTTCACAAGATTTAAAATAAGGATAAGTAAATATAATAGAGGAACAGCTAAAGCTGAGGGACCCAGTGAACTGCTTGATTTTGCATTTATTTAGTTGGAGTATTCAGCATTTTACTGCATGTGGGTCTTCACCCTGGTAGTTGATGTGTAATCCTACAGTCACCATAACAAGAGCTCACTGCTCTGTGTCACAGACTGAGGAAAACCTGTCAAAATAAAAGAGAGCTGGTTACTGCTAACCCCCACCACACACATATACCCACACACACACACAGTGCAGCTGTGCATTAATGAATATCAGTTGGCCTTGTTCCCTAGCAACAGTGATGTGCTCCAGCACAGGCCTGAGCCAAATTTAGCTGCAGGATCAAAAGTGCCTCTCTCAGCTCACACAGAGCTGAGTATTTCCATTGAGAAAACCCTTTTAAAAAACCTGTTTGTCGTTCTGTGTGTTACTATGCCTATGTCTGTTTAGATTTTCTACTTTAATACTGCATTTTGTGCAGCAGTTTGTTTTAAATTATTTTTATTTATTATTTACAATGTCCTCGACGTATGGCGTTTCTTGGTTACATCACCATCTTTCATACATTTATTTTTTGTATTATTTAGTTTAGTCTTGTTTCATCATTTAGACGTACAGTTAAAACTCACCCACTAGTGGACAAACTCAATGTAATGTTATCATTATGATACCTTAACGTAAATTACAATATGAAGCAAAAACTGTAAAATGAAATGACAGTTACAGCATTTGTCTGCTAAATCAGGGTCACTGGGTCAGAATCAGGCCACGGCCGCCAGTGACCACCCACCCCCTGTTTTAAGCTGTTCAAAGACTATCAACCAGGGAGCTGTGTGCGGATTAACGTCACTGTGACTAACCAGAAGGCTGGACAGACTGAGTGAGGCGGCCATGAGCTGCTTATCCTGCCGACCAACTGTGTGTCTGATGGTTTGTTTATGTGTTTACACAGACAGGCAGGCCTTTAATAGGACAGCATGACTGCAACAGCAGCCTGTAATTGATAGCTGTCCTATTTTAATGTGCACTGCCCTACTACATAAACAGGGCTTTTCTCCACTACATAGTCAGATATGCATGCCATTAGGGCTATTGGTTGATAATTAAGTTTTGGGAAGTCTGAATAGAAAATGTCCAGCTAAGCTTCTGTAGACGGCACTGCTCTCATGTCAAAGACTATATCAGTGATCATCAACTGGTGGCTCACCCTCCAATCCAACCCAAGGCTGGATTGGAAAATAAACATCAAATAATTATGTTAGACAAAAAAAAATTGATGTTTGTTTCATTTTACTTGAGTGAAAAACTCTGTCTCCAACAGGTGACCCAGCACTAGATGTTGTTTGGGTTTTAAATGTCAGATCAACAAAAGAGTTGTAGGATCACAGATTGAGTGAGTGGAAAATAACAAGGGATTAGGTCGGAACTAGCTAAACATAATGGATAATAGCTTAATGATAGTTAACATAATAAAATCAAAATCATCATGACAGCTAAAACATTACAAAACCTATTCCTGAAGTAACTCAAATCTTAAAGTTAGCAAAAGATAAACAAATAATAATCGTGCAGGAAATTGTTCACTTCCTGTTAATAGTGACACAAATTAACCAAATCCTTAAAGTTAATTACTGTAAGAGTTAGCTGAATTGCTAATTGATAGCTTTTCTAACCATTTAAATTGAGTAAATAATAATACATTTTACCTAAGCCTCAAATTGACAAAGTAAGAACAGATTCGGTTCCATCTTCAGTTAGAACCCTGGAGTAGTTTCAGTAGAACCACACCAAGCACTTTGTCACTGTGTGAGTCCCTGCTGTGTAACTTACCCATGATGCATCATGAAAGTGATTGTGGTTTTATGGACTCAAGTCTGGAATCCAGAACTGTTGACCGTTACCTTGTCTCTGTGTTGTCCTCCACAGGCTACATCTGTGACCTTCACCCTGTGACCTGTGACCTGTGACACTTCCTCCACCTCATCCTCTCCCTCGTCGAGCTTCTCATTCTCCTCCTGGTCTCCTGCTATTGCGTCCAGCTGTGGCCCTCACAGGGCGCGATCGCTGGCTCTCACCTGACAGGTCCCTGGCCTCAGGACGAAAGCCAGCACCAACACGTTTCCTACATGAGGGACAAGGCCACACAGGTAAGTAGTCCACAGGTAACAGAATCAAGCAAAATGTATTTTTATTTAACAAAAAAAGAATTATTTAAACAAATTGGAATTCAATTTTAATTAATTCTGCTGTATGGGATATTTAGTTCAACAACATTGAACATGTGGCGCAGGTGAAGACTTCACTTACTCACAGTCAACACATGTAAACGACACTTACGATGTGAGTTTCAAGCTGTGCTCAAGTGTCCTAAAGTTTGGTTTTTTGCAACACTTTTCATTGCATTGAGTACTACATTTGAAGTATTATTAATGATTGTACGTTTAACCTTGGATAATTGTAGCATCAAACAAATGCACACCTCTTCACTCTATTGATTGCAGATGACAAAGTGGTATTCACAGCATATATTTTATTAAATTGAACTACACAGTATTCTTGGGCTTGTACACAGTGTTGCTGTATTTCAGTAAAAATACATTTAGTGTAAGTCCAACATTAGTTAAACAAAAATCTCAAAAACAGGCCAAGTAAAATATGATGTCCTGCAGTAAATGACAGAAAATGGTTTAAGGTTCACTCTTATGAGCCACACCGACTTATTCTCTACACCAAGTAAGTAAAGTAAAAGTAAAGTAAAATATGATGTCATGCAGTAAACGACAGAAAATGGTTTAAGGTTCACTTTTATGAGCCACACCGACTTATTCTCTACTATTGAAATGACTCTCATGAAAAAATGAACTCTCATCAAAAAATGAATCAAAAATTGTCCAAATACGTAGTAAAGATATGTTGCCGTAGCTGCTGCTTTTGAGTGTTTCATCCTTCGTAATCTATGTGATATATGTTTGTGTCAGACCCCCAGGGTCTGGGCAGATGAGAGAAGGAGGGGCTCTCACAAACGCTCAGCCTCCTGCGGGAGCACCGACCAGCTCAAAGAGGTTTGTTATGAGTTTCTACACTGCTGTGGTTTTCACTACATCACCAGCCTCACAGTCACCCTACATGGACTGCTCAGAGGTTTCTCCTTCGCTCAGCTCCATGTATGCTCTAACCTCCTATGTAACGCTCTGTCTCTCGTCAGATTGCCAAACTGCGTCAGCAGCTTCAGCGCAGCAAGCGCAGCAGCCGACATCGGAGGGAGAAAGAACGGAAGTCTCCGTTCAATGCCATCATACAGTCACAGGTGATCAGCACGGTGTGTGTGTGAGTGTGTGTGTGT